CTGCACCTGAGGCCCCTCCACCGCTCCTGGTCCGAGGTCGGCTGGTGTCCACCTTCGCTCCCAGCCCAGTGCTGCCCTGACACTCCCTGGTCTCCAGGGCTTCGGCCAGGTGACCTCAACACCACACCAGGGCAGACAGAGGCATGAGTTCCACTCCAACCACAGAAAGCCTTCAACCGGCCACACCGGCCAGTCACAAAGGGGACACCACCGCAGGGAGCCCCGAGGGTACCGCTCAAACACAGCGGGGTCTGCCTGCACCCGCCAAGCCATCCCACGTGCTCCCCAAAGCCAGGTCCGTGCCTCTATCTGAGGGTGACCGGCGGCCGAGCTCAGGGGCAGCTACCCGGGTGCCAGGCCAGCCAGGCAGAGCCCCGGGGCAGGGACGAGCAGACAAGACAGGGGGTCCTAGATGGAGAAGAGGCGCCAGGTCCCGGGCTCGAGGCTTCCACCTGTGGTGGGAGGCAGATCCCGAGCCTGCTCTGCAGCCTTCGGGGAGCCCCGGCCGGGGCTGGTATGAGGGCACTGTCAGAATGTCCACCTGAGCAGTCTGCCCACTGCTGCCTCCCAGTGAGCCCAAGCCGTCTCTGCCGATTTGGGGCAAGCCTCTCTGGGCCTCAGGACCCCCTCCAAACCCTGTCTCACAGCCCGGCCGGGGCCCCGGGTGAGCGCTGCCGAGGGCCCGGACACAGACGGACACAAAGGGCCAGGTGTGAGCCCGTGTGGAAGTGGACAATCGCCCCTTGTGCACCTGCCGGCGCAGCGCTGCCAGGCCGGCAGCGGGCCGTCTTATCGCTGTGATTGCAGGAACAATGGTCCACTCAGTCTTATCTCAGAGGCAGAGCCCTTCCACAGGGCGCTCAGGCGCTCCAAGGCAAGGGACAAAACCGCCATTCAGCAGTGATTCCCGCCAAGCCGGCATCTGCAGGAAAGGGGCCGGAGCCTCCCCAGGCCCTGACAGCAAAGCTCACCAGAACCATCTGCTCCCACAGGCACACAGCCGAGCCCAGCCCAGATGCACAGCTTCAGGAAACCCAAGCTACGTCTCACTCCAGGGTGTGCACGTGCACACATGCACACACACAGGTTCATATTCACAAATGCAAACACACATGCACACTCGAACTGCAGACAAGCACCAGACATGCACACGCATGTACACATGCATATCCACAGGTGTGTGTACGTGTCCACATACACACCCATGTGTGTACGTGTACACATTCACACATACAGCATGTGCACTGTGGACGTGCATGTGTGCCCATGTATGACATAGATGCACACGCATGCAGACATATAAACAGATGGTCAGACAAGCCCAGTCATCAGGTACCGAGGTCCTGGCCACCTGGGGTCACACACTGCTGCCCAGGGGCTGTCCTCCACAGGCCCCACCCAGGGCCCAGGTCCTTGCTACCCACCTGGGGCCTGCTTAGAGGTGCAGCTGTGGTACGCAGGCCCCGGTGTCCCTGCACTACTGGGCTGTCATGGGGTGAAGGCCTCTCTGATTCTCAGCTTCACACCTGAGCAGGTGCTGCTGAGCCTGTTGACAATGACTGCAAACAGGACACCCAGAAAGAGGAGCCAGAGCAGCGGATAACCACCTGCACAATTACAGAGGGTCACCTCAGAGTTATTCCTCTTATGCTATTCTTGGTGCTGGGGATCAAACCCAGGGCCTGGCACACACTGGGAATGTGCTCCACAGAGCCACGCCGGACCCAGGGTCCTGCAGTGCTGAAGTTCTCTAGGGTGACACAGCACCCCTAGCTCTGCCTCAGCATCTCCAGACCTTCCAAGGACAGGGAGAGTGGCCCTGAGGACCCGGGCCTGCAAGACGGGGGTCACAGAGGCCAGAAGAGAACTGGTGGCTCAGATAGTCTGTGGATGAGAGGCTGGTGTGTGGGATGGGGTCTGGTGTGGGGGATGGGGTCTGGTGTGTGGGATGGGGTCTGGTGTGTGGGATGGGGTCTGGTGTGGGGGATGGGGTCTGGTGTGTGGGATGGTGTGTGGGATGGGGTCTGGTGTGTGGGATGGTATGGGGGATGGGGTCTGGTGTGGGGAATAGGGTCTGGTGTGGGGGATAGGGTCTGGTGTGGGGGATGGGGTCTGGTGTGTGGGATGGTGTGTGGGATGGGGGATGGGGTCTGGTGTGTGGGATGGTGTGTGGGATGGGGGATGGGGTCTGGTGTGTGGGATGGTGTGTGGGATGGGGTCTGGTGTGGGGGATGGGGTCTGGTGTGTGGGATGGGGTCTGGTGTGGGGGATGGGGTCTGGTGTGTGGGATGGTGTGTGGGATGGGGTCTGGTGTGTGGGATGGTATGGGGGATGGGGTCTGGTGTGGGGAATAGGGTCTGGTGTGGGGGATAGGGTCTGGTGTGGGGGATGGGGTCTGGTGTGTGGGATGGGGGCTGGTGTGGGGGATGGGGTCTGGTGTGTGGGATGGTGTGTGGGATGGGGGATGGGGTCTGGTGTGTGGGATGATGTGTGGGATGGGGTCTGGTGTGTGGGATGGGGTCTGGTGTGTGGGATGGGGTCTGGTGTGGGGGATGGGGTCTGGTGTGTGGGATGGTGTGTGGGATGGGGTCTGGTGTGTGGGATGGTATGGGGGATGGGGTCTGGTGTGGGGAATAGGATCTGGTGTGGGGGATGGGGTCTGGTGTGTGGGATGGGGTCTGGTGTGGGGGATGGGGTCTGGTGTGTGGGATGGGGTCTGGTGTGGGGGATGGGGTCTGGTGTGGGGGATAGGGTCTGGTGTGGGGGATGGGGTCTGGTGTGGGGGATGGGGTCTGGTGTGTGGGATGGGGTCTGGTGTGTGGGATGGTGTGTGGGATGGGGTCTGGTGTGGGGGATGGGGTCTGGTGTGTGGGATGGGGTCTGGTGTGGGGGATGGGGTCTGGTGTGGGGGATGGGGGCTGGTGTGGGGGATGGGGTGTGGGATGGGGTCTGGTGTGTGGGATGGTGTGTGGGATGGGGGATGGGGTCTGGTGTGTGGGATGGTGTGTGGGATGGGGTCTGGTGTGGGGGATGGGGTATTGTGTGTGGGATGGGGTCTGGTGTGGGGGATGGGGTCTGGTGTGTGGGATGGGGTCTGGTGTGTGGGATGGTGTGTGGGATGGGGTCTGGTGTGTGGGATGGGGTCTGGTGTATGGGATGGTGTGGGGGATGGGGTCTGGTGTGGGGGATGGGGTCTGGTGTGGGGGATGGGGTCTGGTGTGTGGGATGGTGTGTGGGATGGGGTCTGGTGTGTGGGATGGTATGGGGGATGGGGTCTGGTGTGGGGAATAGGGTCTGGTGTGGGGGATAGGGTCTGGTGTGGGGGATGGGGTCTGGTGTGTGGGATGGGGGCTGGTGTGGGGGATGGGGTCTGGTGTGGGGGATGGGGTCTGGTGTGTGGGATGGGGGCTGGTGTGTGGGATGGGGGCTGGTGTGGGGATTGGGGTCTGGTGTGGGGGATGGGGTCTGGTGTGGGGGATGGGGTCTGGTGTGGGGGATGGTGTGGGGGATAGGGTCTGGTGTGGGGGATGGGGTCTGGTGTGTGGGATGGTGTGGGGGATGGGGTCTGGTGTGTGGGATGGGGTCTGGTGTGGGGGATGGGGGCTGGTGTGTGGGATGGGGGCTGGTGTGTGGGATGGGGTCTGGTGTGTGGGATGGGGTCTGGTGTGGGGGATGGGGTCTGGTGTGGGGATTGGGGTCTGGTGTGGGGGATGGGGTCTGGTGTGGGGGATGGGGTCTGGTGTGGGGGATGGGGTCTGGTGTGGGGGATGGGGTCTGGTCTGTGGGACCAGGGTGCATCTCCATGGTGGTAGCTGGGGGCTAGGAGAGACCAGAAGGCCTTGGGATCTGGGCTCAGGAGGGCTGAGGCTCCTGCCAAGGCTCTGTGGAGGCGGCTGTGCAGGGGTCGGCGGGACCCCGATACTGCAGCTGTGGGGACCATGAGAGCAGCCCGGGGGAGGGAGGGCCTGCGCCCCAGCCCCCGGGACGCCGGCCTGGCCTCCTGTGGCGGGGTCTCCGTGGAGACCCTCACCCCGCGCCCGTACACCCACCGACTGCTCAAAGCCTATCCCACGCCATGTCCCTTGGGGCTGGCCTGCGGTGCCCTTCAGGGGTGGGAGTGCACCCCGGGATCTACCGTGTCCCCACACAGCCCACAGGTACTCCAGAGACTCTCCCGGGCCCCACAACAGAGCTGCTTGGAGCTCAGAGAGCTCCATGCCCGCTCCCGGAGCGGGCTACGGAGGCCCAGCGAGGGGCTCTCGGGAAGCCCGTCCTCCAGCCCCGGGCTGCAGGCCCCGGCAGCACCTCCAGCAGACCTCCTGGGCCAGCCCCAAGCCTGCGGCCAGCAGCGCCGAGACCCCAGCATGCTCGGACCCGCCAGGCCCTCCCCACATGGGCTTCCTGTGGGGAAAGGGAAGGAGCCCTGCAGCTGGGCAGGTGGGAGTCCTAGGGTCCACGGAGGGGCGTGGCTGGCTCAGGAGCTGTCTGCCACCCTGAACTACCCAGCAGAGGTGGGGGGGGAGCCAGGCCCCTCGGCCCTCCCTGGATGAGCCCCACCCCTGGCCATCCAGGCCTGTGCGGCCAGTGTCCACAATAGGGAGAGGGGTGGGGCAGGGCGGGGGGGGGGGTGGCGGGCAGGGGCATAGCAGGGTCTGTCCCGGCCCCCAGGACGCCACACGCAGGACTGCTCGTGGCCCTCCGGGAGCTGCGTCAACCCCCCTGGAACGGTGATAATGGGGCCACGGTCAATGCAGATTTTCCAAAGAAGTCAGTCCTGATAAGGCAGCCTCTGAGATCCTGTTTGGCCTCCGTTCTGCCTGGAGGTAGTGGCGACTGCAGGGCTGGGGCAGGGGCCAGGGCGGGTGAGGCAGGGGCAGGGCCTGCTGCCCTATATAAGGTGCTGGGGGCTGGCCGCTCAAGCCGCCACGGCAGCAGCAGTGAGACTGCCCGGACGCGGGAGGCCAGGGCTGGTGGCCACCCCCGTCCCCCAGCCGCGCACCATGCTCGCGCCTCGGCTGCTCTTGCTGCTGTCCTGCGCAGGACCGCTGCTTGTCACTGGTAAGTGGGCATCTGCCCGGCCACACCAAAGGCTCCGCATCCCGACCCTGCACAGAGCCCCCTCCCCGTCTTCTCGCCTCGCCCGCTCTGCCTGGGGCAGGCTGACCAGAGGCCTCCAAGAGTGGGAGGCAGGAGGGGCCAGGCTGGAGCACTGCGCTGGCCCTCGGCCGCCACCCCGCCCTCGCCCTGTCCACCTCCCAGTGAGCTAGGACAATGCCAGGAGGAAGCGCATTCGCGGGGAGCCGTCAGCCAGGACCCTAGCTGAACAGGCTCAGCAGGACACTAGCTGACGACAGGACAGACCGGCTCCCCTCTTGGGGTCTGATCCTTGGAGGAGAGGCAGAGACACCTCCTGACAGAGGAACAGCTCCCTCCAGCCAGGAGGGGCCAAAGCCCCCTGCTGGGACCAGGCTCCCTGCCCCGACTACACAGAACTCCCCACCACGGCTGCGTTTCCCGCTCTGTACATGTGGGGAAAGTCCACAGTCCCCATCAGCTACGGGAGCCCTGGGTGGGTCGACGGCCGACCGGTCCCTCTCCAGGGCCCACCTGGCCTCTGTACCCGCCCTGCCGTGCTTCCATGCCATGGAGTCGTGGCTCTGAGCACTTCCCATCGCCCTCCGGGGGCCTCAGCCAGGCCTTTCCCCCACACACGGCGGGAAGTCATGGGCCACCCCGTGGGAGTGCTAGATCCAAGCGGGGGAGCGGGCGTGGAGGGCATGCCGGGCCACAGCCCTGGGAGAGCATATTCCCATGACCATTTCTGCACGGCCTAGAGGGGGGCCTGTGGGGCCTGGAAGAGGGCCTGTGGGGCCTGGAGGGGGCCCTGCGGGGCCTGCGGGGCCTGGAGGGGGACCTGCGGGGTCTGCAGGGCCTGCGGGGGGCCAGACGGCTGAGCAGTTAGTTGGAGGAAGTGCCTGAGCCAGCTGGCTCAACCCAGGACAGACAGGGGGACAGAACGGCAGCGCAGGTCACCTGGCGGCTGGTCTGAGGTGGAGAGGACAGTCCCACTGGAGTCCCTGGGGACTGTGGGGACAGACACCTCTCAGGGCCAACAGAGGCTGACCTGAGCCTGTGCTAGTGGGGTAGACCCATCAGATCAGAAAGGCAGAGAAACTGAGTCACAGAAGGCCGTGCCGGGGGAGGCTGGCCAAGGCTCTGCACCTCCCAGAAGTGTGGGCCCGGGAGCACATACTGCCCTCTCCCCTGACATCACTCCCGGAGGGAGGGCCGGGGCTGGGGCCACACGGCCCACTGGGCCCCAAGGATGGAGATGGATGGGGTGAGGGGACAGCAGACACCCGGCCCCAGTGCTACAAAGTCTGGGGTCTACACAGTACAAGCTGGGTGCATGGGTATGGTCCACGCCCAGCCAAGCAGACACAACCTTGGGGTCAAAGGGCATCACAGGATGAAGCACCCCCACACACACACACACACACACACAGGCTCGCTTAATCCAGCCACTCCCATTGCCCAGCCCCAGTCAGCAGGAGCGAGACTGTGGCTGAGCTCCTCTTCACCCAGACGCTGTGCCTGCCCACTGCCGGCCCTCTGCCCCTGTTCTGGGGTCCTCCAGAGACGATCTGGCCCCAGGAGACAGGCCAGGAGCCCTCGGCACTGCGTTAAGGGTTGGCCAACAGGGTGGGAGCAGCCCCCAGAGGAGTCAGGACACCTGTCTGGCCAGCATGTGGACACCTGTGGACCTACAGCAGCCACAGAAAAAGTCCCAACGTGGGGGTACATATCTCCAGCTAAGGAGAGGAGGTGGAGAGGGAGGAAGCCCCCACGGCCAGAAGACGCTTCCCCACACAGCTCCGGCCAGAAGACGCTTCCCCACACAGCTCCGGCAGCCAGGCAGGGCCATCTTCTGCCTGCCCTGCCCCACCCTGCCTGGGCTGCCAAAAGGTCACTGTGACCTTGTTATTTAGGCATCTCTCTAGCAACCATCACCACAGTCCCAATACCCACTGTTGTGGAGGCTGCCAGAGAGAAAGGAGGTGAAGCCTCCAGACAGCCGGGCTCTACTGGCCCAGACCTCTCCCCTTCCCCACCCCGCCCCCAGCCCACCCCATGCCCATCCCCTGCTGAGCTCACACAGAGGTGAGTTCAGCCCAGCTCTGCACACCGGCTCCTGCCCTGGGCACGGACGCCCAGTCCCCTACACACCTGTGTGTCCTGTGCTCAGTTCTCCCTCTGCTGGGTGCATGTCCCGACTTGTGTGAGCAGTAATCCTGACAGACAGACAAGCAGGTGCTTCCCCCAGAGGGTACCATGGCTGGGAGCCTGGCATGCTCTGGCAGAGCACATCTGCTCCATCCCTCGCTGCCGGCCCGCAGGCGGTGGGTCCTCCAGCAGGCCCACCCAGCCCAGGAGAGCACACTCCAGGCCATCACCTCCCCAGAGCGGCCACCATCCCTGCAGGTGCAGTCTCTCCTGCAGACTGCTTTTCCTAGGGGACCTTGTCATGGCCAGGAGTGTGCATACACATGTGTGTGCACATGTGTATGTGTGCGTGTGAATGTGTGTGCACCCGCTTCTCACTCCCCCCCGGGACACACTGTGGGCGCAGCCCTGGTACCACATGCCACAGCTCCCCCCGCCCCCAGCAAGCAGCACTGAGCAATCACTCTGTGCAGACAAGCTGAGCCGGTGAATGAATGGAGAAACAAGTCATAAAATCAGGAAAAGGAGGCAGAGCTGAGGGATGCAGGGCTCAGCCTGCTAACCCGGCTACCTTGCTGCCCAGAGGGGGGTGCTGCAATCTGCAGGCAGCCCAGCACCTCCACGGACTGGGTGGAGCGCCTCGGGCAAGGCGCTCGGGGCCATGGGGTGACAATGGCACACTCACCACCAGCCCTGTCTATGCAGGTCTGCACACTACCTCCTTCACCAGCCCAGGATCCCAGGACCCAACGGACTCTCTACAGACAGGTGAGGGCTCAAGCCCCTGTGGGTGCTTCCAGAGAACCGAGAGCCTGGGCCAGGTGCAGAAGGGAGCGGCTCCCACACCAGGCCATGCTGGGACACACTCGTGCACACCAATGCAATGTGCTTCCAACTACACAAGCGCATGCACTATTACGCTAGATGCAGCGGTCCAGGGTTCCCATGAGAAACCCAGAAACAAGACCACTATCCAGGCAGCAGCCAAGGGCACACGCAGGAGTGTCATTGGGGAAGCTGGGCACTCAGGGACAGTGGCCTCTCATTGCGGCCCTGCCCCGCCCTGCCTAGAGCTGCCACAGGTCCCCTGCTGATAGGAGGCCCATTGGTGTCTTCCTGTCTTAAGAGATGCCACAGCTAGATGCCACCAGCCCTGACACCAAGGGCAGCCTGCAGGGCTGCAAGGCTGGGAGGCAGGCCCCAGGCCAGAGCCCAGTGGGCACAGGGAGCCAGGCCCACGTCCGTCCCTCCCAGCGTGGGCTGCCTGGGCCCCAGCGCATGGGCCAGGCGTCCTAGACCTGCCCTTCTCCATCAGCAGGGACCTAGACCTTGAGACTTCCCCCGTCTCTCCACAGCCCCTGGCAAGGGCCAGTGCTCCACCTGGGGAACCAGCCACTTCTCCACCTTTGATGGCCGTGCGTACGAGTTCTCCGGAACATGCAACTATGTGCTGGCGGCCACCTGCAGGGAGGCCTCGCCCACCTTCAGTGTCCAGCTGCGGCGAGGGGCGCACGGAAGTGTCTCCCGCATCATTGTGGAGCTGGGGGCCACTGCCGTCACAGTGAGCAAGGGCTCCATCTCTGTCAAGGACGTCGGGTAGGGCACGGGGCTGGGCTGGCCAGCTGAGCAGAGAGGCAGCCAGGGGACAGCTGCTGACCGCTGACCTCTCCTACCCATAGCGTGGTCAGCCTGCCCTACACCCGCAATGGACTCCAGATCACACCGCATGGCCACAGCGTGCAGCTGGTGGCCAAGCAGCTGGAGCTGGAGCTGGTGGTCACATGGGGCCCAGACAGCCACCTCATGGTGAGTGCAGCAGGGTCCCTACAGGCCATGGCCAGATAATCAGGGCTGGGGGGTCCCAACACGCCTCCTCCACCAGTACAACCCACTTCCTGCAAAGCAGCCCAGGTCCCCGGCCAACAACCACAGAGGACCTGGGTTTGGTGGGTATCCAGCTTCCCCTTTTGAAAAGTGGGGGGAGACAGCCAGGAGCCGAGCTTCAGGAGGTGTGGCATCGGGAAGAGGGAGACCAGGCCCTGAGCACAGGTGCCATGCCCCCCCCCAGCTTGGGGAGGACTCTCCTGTACCCTTGGGCCTAGCAGTGTGCACCCACAGGTCCTGGTGGAGAGGAAGTACATGGGCCAGATGTGCGGGCTGTGCGGGAACTTCGACGGGAAGGCCAACAACGAGTTTCTGAGTGAGGATGGTAGGTGTGGCAGAACGGTGGGGCTACAGGCACCCAGGCACCTCTGCAGCCAGATCTACCTCCCATCCTCTGCCCCACACTCCCAGGCAAACTCCTGGAACCCCACAAGTATGCCATACTCCAGAAACTGGATGACCCCAATGAGATCTGCTCCCACGAAGCCATCCCAAGAGTCTCCATCCCACAGAACGCACATGTACGTGAGAGAGCAGGGCCAACCCCAGAGGACCCGTGGGGGGGTCTCAGCTGGGGGGCCATGCGGGAACAGGGCCGACCCCGGGGAACTGCGGGGCCTCAGCTGGGGGGCTCATGCGGGAACAGGGCCGACCCCGGGGGACTGCGGGGCCTCAGCTGGGGGCCCACGTGGGAGCAGGGCCGACCCCGGGGGACTGCGGGGCCTCAGCTGGGGCCCACGCGGGAGCAGGGCCAACCCCGGGGGGGCTTCGGGGGTCTCAGCTGGGGGTCCCAGCTGGGGGCCCACGTGGGAGCAGGGCCAACCCCGGGGTACTGCAGGGACTCAGCTGGGGCCTCAGCTGGGGGCCCACGCGGGAGCAGGGCCAACCCCGGGGAACTGCGGGGTCTCAGTCAAGGGCCCACATGGGAGCAGGGCTGACCCCAGGGGACCTACTGGGTCTCAGAGGCCAATGATTTTCCCGTACCCCACCTTGCAAGCCCAGTATGACACAGGACATGGCCTTGCCAATCTGACCCCAAGTGGCTCCCTGCCCAGGCCAGAATCTGTGCCCAGCTGCTGGACCTGGTGTCCCCTGAGTGCAACGTGCCCAAGGAGCCACTGTTGCTGAGCTGCCAGGCAGACATGGCTGAGTGCGACTGGCCAGGCCAGCGGAACTGCAGCTGTGCCACACTGTCCGAGTACTCCCGCCGGTGCCGCATGGCGGGCCAGCCGGTCAACCGCTGGCGGAGTCCTGGCTTCTGCTGTGAGTCCCTGGGAGTGCCAGGCCGGGTGGGGTGGCAGGTATGACAGAAGGACCGGGCCACAGAAGGGTGGAGGGAAGCCATGCTCTCACCTAAGCCCCTGCCTGCAGCCCTGGGCCAGTGCCCAGCCAACCAGATATACCAAGAGTGTGGCACGCCCTGCATCGGGACCTGCTCCAACCCACAGCACAGCTGCTCCAGCACCTGCACCTCCGGCTGCTTCTGCCCCGACGGTACCGACACACCAGCACCCGCTGCCCCAGGGACCCCCAGAAACAAACCTAGAGAGGAGACATGCAAGGCCCTACCCCTGGCTGGGCCCAGACATTCTGCCATCTGAGTCCCAAGGCCCCTCTGCGCTGGGCCTCACCCATGGGTGAGCAGAGCCTATGGGGGGGGCGAGGAGTAGGAGCTTGCAGATCCAGGCAGGCTGTTAAGAGATGGGCCATACTCAAAGCTGCTGTAGGGCTGTTCAAGATGTCCCATTCAGACATCTCCCCAGGCCTGGGGGTGGGGGTGATAGCAGAGCCTTTGCCCTCTGGGCACGGGAAATGTCAGCCCCACCAAGCTCCAGAACCTCGTTGTTGAAGGTATGGTGCTGAATGATCTCACCACAAGCCACACCTGCGTGCCCATCAGCCAGTGCCCCTGCACACTCGGAGGGGCGCTCTACCAACCAGGACAGGCCACCAGGGCTGCCTGCCACACCTGGTGAGTACAGGGGACAGCGGGGCTGCACCCATGGGGGCCGAGCGCCCCTGGCTCAGAACAGCCGGTGGGCACCGCCCCTGCCAGGGCCCCGGCCTCCACGGTTACCCCCATGCCACCCACAGCCAGTGTTCCATGGGGCGCTGGGCATGCACGGAGAAGCCTTGCCCTGGCCACTGCGCCCTGGAAGGCGGCTCCTTCGTCACCACGTTCGACGCCAGGCCCTACCGCTTCCACGGAACCTGCACCTACATTCTTCTCCAGGTGGGAGGCAGTCTCGGGGGTGGGGAGAGGGGGGGCCCCTCCCAGCCCAAGCCGCCCACCCCAAGCCACCCACCCCGTCTCTCCAGAGCCCCTGGCTTCCTGATGAGGGAACTCTCATGGCTGTGTACGACAAGTCGGGCTATTCGCACTCAGAGACCTCCCTGGTGGCCGTCATCTACCTGTCCAGGAAGGTAAGGCTGCCTGCCCTCCACCCCAGGGCCCCAGCCCCCCCTGCCTCTCAGCCCGCCCCTCCTGACTCAGGACACCTTTCCTCCAGGACAAAATCATGATCTCTGAGGATGAAACCATCACAAACCATGGAGACACCAAGTGGTTGCCATACAAGACTCGTAGGTCCTCCACAGGCGAGCAGCAGGCGGGCAGCACCTGGGATCCATCGGACAGAGACGCACCTTAGGGGAGGGGCAGAGCGAGGGGAGGTGCTGGGGGGGACGGAGTGGCACGTGGACAGACAGCCCCTCAGTACTCTGTCCTTGCAGACAACATCACCATCTTCAGACAGACATCCACCCACCTCCAGATGGCCACCAGCTTTGGGCTAGAGCTGGTGATCCAGATGCAGCCGGTCTTCCAGTTGTACATCACCGTCAGTCCCCAATTCAGAGGCCAAACCAGAGGTGAGCCCCTACCCACCGGCCTCTCCCAGGGCCGGCCGGGCCACCTCCATCCACCATGAGCAGGTGGGGAAAGGCCCTTCACCTACCGGACCCCGGAAGAGCTGCTCCTCCAGGCCAGGAACAGCCTCTGACCGGGGCCCAGCGAGGCAGAGGGAGTCTGAGACCGAGGGGGATACGGGAGGACGGGGGGCTCAATCCTACGGCCCGGCTGGCTCAGGTCTCTGCGGCAACTTCAATGGGGACACGACAGACGACTTCACCACCAGCGCGGGCCTGGACGAAGGCACTGCCTCTCTCTTTGTGGACTCCTGGCGAGCAGGGAACTGTCCGACCGCCCTGGAGCGCGAGACGGACCCCTGTTCCATGAGCCAGCTCAACAGTGAGTGCCACGCTGCCCCTCGCCGCGCAGGCCCCGAGTGCAGAGCGGACAGGAGACCCAGAGCTGGCCCTGTCGCCCACAGAGGTGTGTGCGGAGACCCACTGCTCTGTGCTGCTGAGGAAGGGGAGCGTGTTCGAGAAGTGCCACACGGCGGTGAACCCCCAGCCCTTCTATAAGGTGGGGCTCGCAGGCATCGGCCGGGGTGGGGCGGGGGGCGCTCCACACCTGGGTCCCCGGCCGCTGGGACGCCACCAGGGCGGGCGGGAGCCCCCGGCTCCCATGGCCCAAGGACGGCAGGTGTCCACGGCCGGCTTCTCCTGCAGAGGTGCGTGTACCAGGCTTGCAACTACGAGGAAACCTTTCCGCACATCTGCGCCGCCCTGGGGGCCTACGCCCAGGCCTGCTCCTCCCGAGGGGCCCTGCTCTGGGGCTGGAGACACAGCGTGGACAACTGCAGTGAGTGCCAGGCACGGCGGGGAGGGCGGAGGGACGCGGGGCTCGGGCGACAGGGCCAGCCAGGAGGCAGCGCGGCGCCACGCTCCCGCCCTCCGACTGCTTGTCCGAGGCCCACCCTCCTTTCCCACAGCTGTCTCTTGCTCCGGGAACCGCACCTTCAGCTACAACAGCACGGCATGTGACCGTACCTGCCTGTCTCTGTCCGACCGCACGGCAGAGTGCCACGCCAGCTCCGTGTCGGTGGACGGCTGTAACTGCCCCGAAGGCACCTACCTGAACCACAAGGCTGAGTGTGTCCGCAAGGCCCAGTGCCCCTGCCTGCTGGACGGCTCCAAGTTTGTCCTGGCTGACCAGTCTACCATCATCAATGGGGCCACCTGGTGAGGCTGGGCACCGGGCACGCCGGGCAGGGCAGGGGTGCCGCCCGCAGGTGGCTCACAGGCTTCTCCCTCACAGCTACTGCACCAACGGACGGCTGAGCTGTCCACGGCAGCAGGAGATGTTCTTGGGTATGTACCCACGTGGCCTGTCCACGGCCCGCGCGGGCTGGCCGGCGGGCCCCATACCTCAGACTTCTCCAGCTCTCCATTCTCCCTCTCCCTCCCCACAGCATCCTGCATGGCCCCCAAGACCTTCCAGTCCTGCAGCCAGTCCTCAGAGGACAAGTTTGGGGCAGCCTGTGCCCCCACGTGCCAGATGCTGGCCACGGGCAGCACATGTGTAAGGGGCAAGAGGGACTGGCTTTCTGGGCACCACATGGCCTCCAAAAACACACGGGGCTGGCACTGCTCCCTTCCCTCCGCCAGCCTGTCTGTCCCAGCGGCTGGCACCAGGTGGGAGGTCAAAAGGTCCACAGTGGCTCCGGGACTGGGCTGCTGTCCGTGGGGCTCTGAGGGACATGGCTGGCCTCTGGCCTGAGCAGTACCGCCGTCCATGCGGAGGTCCAGCCAGGCATGCGCCCTTCCCTGAGGGGGGTGGCTTTGCTGCCCCGAGGCTGAGAGCAGGCTAGACAGAGGGACCGGGCCTCAGTACTGTGGGTCTCTGAGCCCAGGGTTGGGCAGCCACAGGCCGAGCCACCCCCCAGGAGCCCCTGAGCCTACCTCTCCCCACAGGTGCCAACCAAGTGCGAACCCGGCTGCGTCTGTGCCAAGGGTCTCTATGAGAACCCCCAGGGGCAGTGTGTACCCCCGGAAGAGTGCCCGTGTGAATACGCAGGGACCTCCTATCCCGGGGGAGCCGAGCTCCACACGGACTGCAAGACCTGGTAAGGACTCGCTCCCCCGAGGCCTGGGGCCTGGGGCTGCCTGGGCGGGGCACTTGGAGGTGGGTGGGGTGTCTGGAGGTGGAGAATAGGCCCCCAGGAACTTAGGACAAACCTCACGTATCTCTCTCTCTCTCTCTCTCTCTCTCACACACACACACACACACACACACACACACACACACACGCCCGTACCCTCTCCCAGCACCTGCTCACAGGGGAAGTGGACCTGTCAGCAAAATGCCCACTGCTCGGCCACCTGCGTCCTCTACGGCGAGGGTCACATGATCACTTTTGATGGACAGCGATTCGTGTTTGATGGCAACTGCGAGTACATCCTGACCACAGTAAGTGCCAGTCCAGGAGAGAGGCCAGGATCATGATACCACAACCAGTGCCAGGAGAGAGGCCGGGGGTCATGGCACCAGTCAGTGCCAGGAGAGAGGCCGGGAGTCATGGCACCAGTCAGTGCCAGGAGAGAGGCCGGGGGTCATGGCACCACAGTCAGTGCCAGGAGAGAGGCCGGGGGTCATGGCACCACAGTCAGTGCCAGGAGAGAGGCCGGGGGTCATGGTACCAGCCAGTCCAGGAGAGAGGCCGAGGTCATGGCACCACAGTGTCAGGAGAGAGGGCGGGGGTCATGGCACCACAGTGTCAGGAGAGAGGCCGGGGGTCATGGCACCACAGTGTCAGGAGAGAGGCCGGGGGTCATGGCACCAGCCAGTCCAGGAGAGAGGCCGAGGTCATGGCACCACAGTGTCAGGAGAGAGGCCAAGGGTCATGGCACCACAGTGTCAGGAGAGAGGCCGGAGGTCATGGCACCACAGTGTCAGGAGAGAGGCCGGGGGTCATGGCACCAGCCAGTCCAGGAGAGAGGGCGGAGGTCATGGCACCTCCAGTGCCAGGAGAGAGGCCGGGGGTTACAGTGGGTCTCAAGGCTGCTCAATGCCCCGCAGGATGGCTGTGGTGCCAACAGCTCGCAGCCCACCCTCAAGATCCTGACAGAGAACGTCATCTGTGGGAACTCAGGCGTCACCTGCTCTCGGGCCATCAAGATCTCCGTGGGCGTGAGCAGCGGGCCTCGGGCAGCAGGGCGGAGTCTGGGCCAGCCCCCCTTCACCGTGGCCCTTTCCGCAAGCCCCCCCTTCCTCTGTATGAAGGGGCAGGAGGCGGGGTGCCAGACACCACCCAGCTCCTCCGCAGGAGGCCATGCCCTGTCCACACCCTCAGAACCCCAGTCAGCGCTGCCCCGGCGGCCCCGCATCCCTGCCTTGCCGGGCAGGGCTTCCTTAGGCACTGGGCACGGGGCAGGGGCCGGCCGTAGGGCAGCGCCCGGCCCTGCGGGAGGCTGACTGGGGCCCTGCTCCCACAGGGCCTGTCCATCACCATGGCAGACAGGAATTTCTCGGTCAGCGGACGGGAGCCCGCCGTGCACTTCCAGGTGAAGCCCAGCAACCTGAACCTCATTCTGGACCTGGGGGTGCCTGGGAGGTTCAACCTGACCCTCATCTGGAACAAGCACATGAGCGTCTCCATCAAGATGCATCGCATCTCCCAGGTACCCGCCGCTTCCCCCCACCCCACCCCACCCCACCCCCGCCACCTCCCAGGCACCCCCACCACCACCCGCGCCGCTCCCTCCCCCCACCCCACCCCACCCCCGCCACCTCCCAGGCACCCGCGCCGCTCCCTCCCCCCACTCCACCCCACCCCCGCCACCTCCCAGGCACCTGCGCTGCTTCCCCTCACCCCACCCCCGCCACCTCCCAGGCACCTGCACCGCTCCCTCCCCCCACCCCACCCCCGCCACCTCCCAGGCACCCGCGCCGCTCCCTCCCCCCACCCCACCCCCGCCACCTCCCAGGCACCCGCGCCGCTCCCTCCCCCCACCCACCACCTCCCAGGCACCCGCGCCGCTCCCTCCCCCCACCCGCCACCTCCGAGGTGTGCCCCAGCCATCCCATTCATCTCTGGGGAAGGACACAATGCGCAAAGGTGCACCCCCCACCTGACGTCCCCCCACAGGACCCGCTCTGCGGCTTGTGTGGCAACTACAACGGAAACATGAAGGACGACTTTGAGACGCGCACCCAGTACGTGGCGCCCAGCGAGCTGGAGTTTGTGAACTCGTGGAAGGAGAACCCGCTGTGCGGGGACGCCAGCTTCGTGGTGGACCCTTGCAGCATCAACACCTTCCGCCGCTCCTGGGCAGAACGCAAGTGCAGCATCATCAACAGCCAGAGCTTTGCTGCCTGCCACAGCAAGGTGGGCCCCGGAGCCCAGGCCCAAGCCCGGGGTGCCTGACCCCCCCGGAGCCCAGGCCTAAGCCCGGAGGTGTCTCATCCCCCCTGAGCCCAGGCCCAAGCCCGGGGTGCCTGACCCCCCCTGAGCCCAGGCCCAAGCCCGGAGATGCCTCATCCCCCCTGAGCCCAGGCCCAAGCCCGGGGGTGCCTGATCCCCCCTGAGCCCAGGCCCAAGCCCCGGGGTGCCTCATCCCCCCTGAGCCCAGGCCCAAGCCCCGGGGTGCCTGACCCCCCTGAGCCCAGGCCCAAGCCCCAGGGTGCCTGACCCCCCCTGAGCCCAGGCCCAAGCCCCGGGGTGCCTCATCCCCCCTGAGCCCAGGCCCAAGCCCCGGGGTGCCTGACCCCCCTGAGCCCAGGCCCAAGCCCCGGGGTGCCTGACCCCCCCGGAGCCCAGGCCCAAGCCCGGAGATGCCTCATCCCCCCTGAGCCCAGGCCCAAGCCCTGGGGTGCCTGATCCCCCCTGAGCCCAGGCCCAAGCCCCGGGGTGCCTCATCCCCCCTGAGCCCAGGCCCAAGCCCGGGGTGCCTGACCCCCCCTGAGCCCAGGCCCAAGCCCTGGGGTGCCTGATCCCCCCTGAGCCCAGGCCCAAACCCAGAGGTGCCTCATCCCCCCTGAGCCCAGGCCCAAGCCCGGAGGTGCCTCATCCCCCCTGAGCCCAGGCCCAAGCCCCGGGGTGCCTGACCCCCCCTGAGCCCAGGCCCAAGCCCGGGGGTGCCTGACCCCCCCTGAGCCCAGGCCCAAGCCCCGGGGTGCCTGATCCCCCCTGAGCCCAGGCCCAAACCCAGAGGTGCCTGATCCCCCCTGTGCCCAGGCTCAAGCCCGGAGGTGCCTCATCCCCCCTGAGCCCAGGCCCAAGCCCCGGGGTGCCTGACCCCCCCTGAGCCCAGGCCCAAGCCCGGGGGTGCCAGCCCCCCCCATCCACACACCCAAGCCTGGCAGTGTCAGGCCCTATCCTCCCATGGGAACAGGGTGGAGTCCTCTCCTGTGGAGCCTGGGAGCGGGCAGGGAACAGGGGTGGATGGCAGGCCCCACGGCTAGGCGAGGGGTCCCCACAAGCAGTGGTGTGGGCAGCAGTACCAGGGTTCCACCCCCCGGAAGCTGTAGCAGCTCCCAGACAGCGCGGAGTAGTGGGGGCCGGGGTCTGCAGAACTGCCAGGCAGAGCCCCTGCTTCGGCGTGTACGGTCAGCAAGGAGCCACTCTAAGGTAGGAGACCCATCCTGACCCAGAGGTGAGCCTCCTGGACTCAGGGGCTCCTAGGAGAGCCCTTGACGCTTGGTCTCAGTAAAACTAGGAGAAGCGTGCCCCATGAAGCACAAAGGCCGGAAGCTGGGACTAGCCTGGTGCATTCAGAGGCCATGTGAGCGAGCACCGTGGCGTGGGACAGGGTCAGGGGAGGGGAATGGACACGGCGGGGGTGCAGCAGAGGCCACGGGGCGGGGCTCTGCTGGGCCCATCCTGGCTCCAGGGGGAGGCCTCTGGGAACAGGAGCACTGACCGGGTCCCCCAGGGTGGAGCTGGCTGAGCACCAACATCACCATGTGGCGTTGGCTGAGGGCTGAACGGCTGCTGGGCCAGGCCCCACGCGCAGCCAAGCCCGGCCCGGCTGCACCGCCAGACACCGACAGGCCACCCCCCGCAGGTGTACCACCTGCCCTACTACGAGGCCTGTGTGCGGGACACGTGCGGGTGTGACACGGGGGGCGACTGCGAGTGTCTGTGCGACGCGGTGGCCGCCTACGCCAAGGCCTGCCTGGACAAGGGCATGTGCGTGGACTGGAGGACCCCGAGCTTCTGCCGTGAGTGCCCGCCCCTCCCCCACGCCTGCCCGGCCCAGAGACCTGCCGTGGGAACCGGGAACCCCTCCCTAGGCAGGCGCCAGGCCACCTGCAGGGCTGCGTAGGGCTGCCAGCCTCTGCCCACCTCCCTCAGAGCCTCCTCCAACGGAACCCAGGCCGCCGGGCCTGGCCACAACCTGCAGGGCTGCGTAGGGCTGCCAGCCTCTGCCCATGTCCCTCAGAGCCTCCTCCAACGGAACCTGGGCCGCCGGGCCTGGCCACAACCTGCAGGGCTGCGTAGGGCTGCCAGCCTCTGCCCACCTCCCTCAGAGCCTCCTCCAACGGAACCCAGGCCGCCAGGCCTGGCCACAACCTGCAGGGCTGCGTAGGGCTGCCAGCCTCTGCCCATGTCCCTCAGAGCCTCCTCCAACGGAACCTGGGCCGCCGGGCCTGGCCACAACCTGCAGGGCTGCGTAGGGCTGCCAGCCTCTGCCCACCTCCCTCAGAGCCTCCTCCAACGGAACCCAGGCCGCCAGGCCTGGCCACAACCTGCAGGGCTGCGTAGGGCTGCCAGCCTCTGCCCATGTCCCTCAGAGCCTCCTCCAACGGAACCCGGGCCACCGGACCGCGGGGCCGCCGCGCCTGGGCTCAGGACTGGCTGCCCTGACCACACACCTTCCCTCACAGCCATCTACTGCGACTTCTACAACACGCACAAGCACGTCGGCAATGAGTACCAGTACACACCGACGGCCAACTGCACGTGGCACTACCAGCCCTGCCTGTGCCCCGGCCGTCTGGAGAGCTTCCCGGACACCAACATCGAAGGTACCGGGCCCAGGGATTGACGTCTGGTCACCCACACACACCATCACTCACCCACCCAAATATCCACTGACTCGCCTACACTTCCAATCACCAATGCATTCATCCACTCGCACAGCTCATTTGCACTTCACATTCACTCACCTCCACACCAGGATACACTCACACACACCTTTTCACCAGCACATCCATCCACTAGTCCACACGCTCATTCACAAAGGCACTCACCTGCACACACCAGTGAACGCGTCCTCAGAGCCAGCCGCGGCTCTGGGCTGGGACGTGGCCCCACAAAACAGCCCTGTCCTGCAGGAGCTTCTCTCCTGGCCAGGAGAGATTCTGGAAAACCAAAATAAGGAGGCAAAAATCTGTGGGATGACGCACATGCTCCAATAGAAAGATGGGTGCCCGGCCACCACGGCTGGCTGGACCGGGCAGGACCTGATTCGGGACAGGGAGGGTCAGGTTCACGTGTGGCTGAGCCAGGCCCGGTCTGGGGAGAGCTGGGAGGGCTGGGTCCACAGCCGCCAAGGGCCACAACAAGCACTGCCGGCCACGCAGGAGGCGGCCCCGGGCCCAACACGGAGTTTCAGAGACCGGAGGGAAGAGGGGAATGAGGGGCTGGCAGAAGGGGTGGCCAGGACAGGGGTGCTGAGCCTTGCTCTGCTCTGCCCCAGGCTGCTATAACTGCTCCCAGGACGAGTACTTCAACCACCAGGAGGGGATCTGTGTGCCATGCAGTAAGTCCAGGCTCTGCCTGAGGCCTTGGGGAGACCCCCTGTCCTTGGGCCACACGTGCAGGGTGCCTGTGTGCGGGGACTGGAGTCTGGCCCGTGTGTGCGCGGGGAGTGGTGTCTGCTGTTCAGCCCTCCACTGTGGGTCCTGAGCCACGGCCCTGCCAGTGGGGAAAAGCTGGCTCAGCTTTAGGATGGCTCGTGGACGGGGTGGAGGGCTGGGGAGAGGGGTGGGAAGGTGGAGGGGAGGGCAGGGAAGGGGGGGAAGGCAGCAGTCCCTGACGGCCCCTTTCTCTTGCAGCGCTGCTGCCCACCACACCACCAACCACCACAGGTGATTGCGGCCATTGGATGCCATGGGGTCCCTGGCTTTCTTCCTGGCTCTGGACACGGACACATACGTGTACACACACACACACACACACACACACACACACACCTCAGCCTTGGTTCCAGGAATGGACAGGAAACACACGCTAGTCTGGGGTGAGAGGGGAAGGGCCTGTGGCGCATAGCTCCTGGCTGGTCACCGACCCTGACCACTCTGCCTTGGCTGGACCTGACACTGGGCACAAAGCTGGGCCTCCGCAGGTGAGTCCTCCAGAAGGCCCCTGAGGAGGCCCTGGAAGGACCACAGCCAGGGGCTGCAGGGAGAAAGGGCCTCTTCCCACAGCACCGGGTTGGGCTCTGCTCACCCTGAGGCCACAACTGCTCTCCACAGGCCCACGGCCCACGGAGGTCCTGCCCACCACCCCCGGGGTCAGCTCGGGCCCCCCAGCTCTGCCCACAGGCCCCGTGCAGACCGCAAGCCCGGCCACCACACCCTCGGCTCCACCCTCTTCCCCTTCCTCCCCGGAGGGAGGGACAACTGTGACCACACCCAGGAAATCCACCGTGTCCTCTGGAGGTAAGAGCAGCTCCCCGGTGCCCAGGAGCCTCTGCCTTCCACTAAGGTAGTCCCAATGAGCAGATTCTCAGGCTAGAGCTATGCATCTTCTGAAAACTGCTTACAACTCAAACTGGCCGCTCGCCGTGGCTGTTGCAGGCTGTCTGAACCGGAACTAGTAGGACATGCCAGGCACGCACAGCAGCCCAATCTGCCCCCACACACAGCAGCAAAGCCCTCTGCTGCCCGGGACTGCGTGGGGGGCACGGGTAGCCATGGGAAGGCTGATGACCCACACCAGCCTGCACTCCCCACCCCTGCCACAAGGCCAGCTCAGCCAGATGACTCTTCAGGACCTAAGAGCCAGGCAGGAAAGGCAAAGGCTGCTGCTCCGAGGAGGAGGAACAGAAACTGGCAGGAGATCTTGGGGTCATGGGCCTGGGGAAGCCACGGGGGACGGAGATGCCCTCTCATCCTCCACAGACTCATCACACACCACCATGGCGGTATCTGCTCGGTCAACGTCGCCTGTGACCCCGACTGCCACGGCAAGCTCCACAGTCACGGGGCTCACGGTGACCCAGGCCACCTCCGAGCCCACGGCATCCTCCCCTGGCCCAGCCACCACGTCCACAGCTCAGTACACAGCACGCACCACGGAGAGACCACCAACATCAGCGGGGCCTGCCGTGTCTCCTAGCCACAGTGAGTCACAGCCCACAGGTGCCCGTGGCCCAGACCCCTGGCCCGGCTCCCAGCCCAACAAGCAGGAGAGCAGGAACAAGACCCTGGGGGCCCATGGGGAAGTCGGATGCCAAGCCCACAAGCACATAGGTCATGGGCGGGGGCACCCACTGGGCCATGGCCAGGAAAACAAAGTGACAGGATGCAGACAGAGTCAGGTGAGGCAAGATAGGCTCCCAGGTTACCCTGGTTACAAGACAGCCAATGAAAACATGGAACCAGAGACTATGAAGGCAGGTGGCCCGTAACCCCAGGGAAACAGCCACCAGCCCTCAGGCGGAGGAGCACAGAACCACACGTGCGGGAGGTCTGAAATCACGCGGCGAACGCTAACAGCTACCACGATCCACAGCCACCACGGCTCAGGAGCAAGGACCAAGCACAGGGACAGGGCACACCAGACCACCGCCGTCCGATCAGATCATCCTCACCACCCAGCAGCACCGCACGGAGCCCACAACACCCCACGCCCAGGACACCACCACCCACGCCTGGTCCACCCTTACCTCCCACAACTCTCAGCCCTCATCAGTCCTGGCTGCCTCCACCGAGGCCCCCACCACCGAGGCCCCCCAAGGAACGTCGCCACACGCTACCACCACCTCCCAAACACCGTCCGGCCCCCAAAACCCCTTGCCCTCTCTGCTCCCCAGCTCGTCCTCCGCCTCCACTCCCAGTTCACATGCAGCCACCATCACAACCAGTCCACACCTGGGCCCTTCAGCCTCTACCACCCAAACCACAGCGGTCCTGCCCATTACCACAGTGAAGACCACAGGACCCACGCTCACAGCACAGACCCAGGCCTCCGGCACCACCGCCACCACCGGGTCCCACAGCTCACGCACCCCCAAGACCACCTCGGCCCACCTCCTCTCTGAGCCTTCCACACTGCATCCCGCCACATCCACGGAGAGCCCCACGACCAGAGCAACAGAGAGGCCACCAGCCAACACCAGCTCTGCCTCACCCAGCACACACTCCCCACCCACCATGTCTGTCTCCACCACAGCACACTCCACAGGTCCCCCAACAGCAACTCCCCTGCAGACCACCAGCACCCTCTACACCCCTGCCACACCCCAGACCTCTCTGCTGCCAACATCCTCCTCCTCCTCCACTAAGATACCAACCTCCCACACCACCACAGGCCCAAGCAGCCCTCACCCACTCTCTACCACTTCTATCCCGGGGACCACGGGCACCGTACTGCCAACCTCCACCACCCAGAACACAGCCCCAACACAGACCGCCAGCACCACAGCCTACAGCTCACCCAGCACAGACAGAACCTCATCTTCCCTCACCTCCCACCCTCCCTCCACACCACACAATCCGACTGCATCCACAGACACCACGACCACAACCAACCACGCCAACACAGGAAGTACAACGCCAGTGACACGGACCACCACAGCGCACAGCTCACCCAGCACACACTCCCCACCCACCATGTCTGTCTACAGCACAGCACACTCCACAGGTCCCCCAACAGCAACTCCCCTGCAGACCACCAGCACCCTCTACACCCCATCCACACCCCAGACCTCTCTGCTGCCAACATCCTCCTCCTCCTCCTCCACTAAGATACCAACCTCCCACACCACCACAGGCCCAAGCAGCCCTCACCCACTCTCTACCACTTCTACCTCAGGGACCACGGGCACCATACTGCCAACCTCCACCACCCAGAACACAGCCCCAACACAGACCGCCAGCACCACAGCCCACAGCTCACCCAGCACAGACAGAACCTCATCTTCCCTCACCTACCACCCTCCCTCCACACCACACAATCCGACTGCATCCACAGACACCACGACCACAACCAACACAGGAAGTACAACGCCAATGACACGGACCACCTTGGCCACAGCCAGCACAGCGCACAGCTCACCCAGCACACACTCACCACCCACCATGTCTGTCTACACCACAGTACACTCCACAGGTCCCCCAACAGCAACTCCCCTGCAGACCACCAGCACCCTCTATACCCCATCCATACCCCAGACCTCTCTGGTCCCAACATCCTCCTCCTCCTCCTCCAGAACACCAAACTCCCAAACCACCACATCCTCAAGCAGCCCTCACCCACTCCCTACCACTTCTACCTCAGGGACCACGGGCACCATACTGCCAACCTCCACCACCCAGAACACAGAACCAACACAGACCTCCAGCACCACAGCCTACAGCTCACCCAGCACACACTCACTACCCACCATGTCTGTCTACACCACAGTACACTCCACAGGTCCCCCAACAGCAACTCCCCTGCAGACCACCAGCACCCTCTACACCCCATCCATACCCCTGACCTCTCTGGTCCCAACATCCTCCTCCTCCTCCTCCAGAACACCAAACTCCCACACCACCACAGCCCCAAGCAGCCCTCACCCACTCTCTACCACTTCTACCTCAGGGACCACAGGCACCATACTGCCAACCTCCACCACCCAGAAAACAGCCCCAACACAGACCTACAGCACCACAGTCTACAGCTCACCCAGCACAGATAGAACCTCATCTTCCCTCACCTCCCATCCTCCCTCCACACCACACAATCCGACTGCATCTGCAGACACCACAACCACAACCAACCATGCCACCACAGGAAGTACAACGCCAGTGACACGGACCACCTTGGCCACAGCCAGCACAGCGCACAGCTCACCCAGCACACACTCACCACCCACCATGTCTGTCTACACCACAGCACACTCCACAGGTCCCCCAACAGCAACTCCCCTGCAGACCACCAGCACCCTCTACACCCCTGCCACACCCCAGACGTCTCCGCTCCCAACATCCTATTCCTCTTCCTCCTCCACTAAGATACCAACCTCCCACACCACCACAGGCCCAAGCAGCCCTCACCCACTCTCCACCACTTCTACCCCAGGAACCACGGGCACCATACTGCCAACCTCCACCACCCAGAACACAGCCCCAACACAGACCTCCAGCACCACAGCCTACAGCTCACCCAGCACAGACAGAACCTCATCTTCCCTCACCTCCCACCCTCCCTCCACACCACACAATCCGACTGTATCCACAGACACCACGACCACAACCAACACAGGAAGTACAACGCCAGTGACACGGACCACCTTGGCCACAGCCAGCACAGCGCACAGCTTACCCAGCACACACTCACCACCCACCATGTCTGTCTACACCACAGTACACTCCACAGGTCCCCCAACAGCAACTCCCCTGCAGACCACCAGCACCCTCTACACCCCATCCACACCCCAGACCTCTCTGCTCCCAACATCCTCCTCCTCCTCCTCCAGAACACCAAACTCCCACACCACCACATCCTCAAGCAGCCCTCACCCACTCTCTACCACTTCTATCCCAGGGACCACGGGCACCATACTGCCAACCTCCACCACCCAGAACACAGCCCCAACACAGACCTCCAGCACCACAGTCTACAGCTCACCCAGCACAGATAGAACCTCATCTTCCCTCACCTCCCACCCTCCCTCCACACCACACAATCCGACTGCATCTACAGACACCACGACCACAACCAACCACGCCAACACAGAAAGTACAACGCCAGTGACACGGACCACCACAGCGCACAGCTCACCCAGCACACACTCCCCACCCACCATGTCTGTCTACACCACAGTACACTCCACAGGTCCCCCAACAGCAACTCCCCTGCAGACCACCAGCACCCTCTACACCCCATCCACACCCCAGACCTCTCTGCTCCCAACATCCTCCTCCTCCTCCACTAAGATACCAACCTCCCACACCACCACATCCTCAAGCAGCCCTCACCCACTCCCTACCACTTCTACCTCAGGGACCACGGGCACCATACTGCCAACCTCCACCACCCAGAACACAGCCCCAACACAGACCTCCAGCACCACAGCCTACAGCTCACCCAGCACACACCCACCACCCACCATATCTGTCTCTACCACAGTACACTCCACAGGTCCCCCAACAGCAACTCCCCTGCAGACCACCAGCACCCCCTACACCCCTGCCACACCCCAGACCTCTCTGCTCCCAACATCCTCTTCTTCCTCCACTAAGGTACCAACCTCCCACACCACCACAGCCCCAAGCAGCCCTCACCCACTCTCTACCACTTCTATCCCGGGGACCACGGGCACCGTACTGCCAACCTCCACCACCCAGAACACAGCCCCAACAGAGACCTCCAGCACCACAGCCTACAGCTCACCCAGCACACACTCACCACCCACCATGTCTGTCTCTACCACAGTACACTCCACAGGTCCCCCAACAGCAACTCCCCTGCAGACCACCAGCACCCTCTACACCCCATCCATACCCCTGACCTCTCTGCTCCCAACATCCTATTCCTCCTCCTCCAGAACACCAAACTCCCACACCACCACACCCTCAAGCAGCCCTCACCCACTCTCTACCACTTCTACCCCAGGGACCACTGGCACCGTACTGGCAACCTCCACCACCCAGAACACAGCCCCAACACAGACCGCCAGCACCACAGCCTACAGCTCACCCAGCACAGACAGAACCTCATCTTCCCTCACCTCCCACCCTCCCTCCACACCACACAATCCGACTGCATCTGCAGACACCACTACCACAACCAACCATGCCACCACAGGAAGTACAACGCCAGTGACGCGGACCACCTTGGCCACAGCCAGCACAGCGCACAGCTCACCCAGCACACACTCCCCACCCACCATGTCTGTCTACACCACAGCACACTCCACAGGTCCCCCAACAGCAACTCCCCTGCAGACCACCAGCACCCTCTACACCCCATCCACACCCCAGACCTCTCTGCTCCCAACATCCTCCTCCTCCTCCTCCAGAACACCAAACTCCCACACCACCACATCCTCAAGCAGCCCTCACCCACTCTCTACCACTTCTATCCCAGGGACCACGGGCACCATACTGCCAACCTCCACCACCCAGAACACAGCCCCAACACAGACCTCCAGCACCACAGTCTACAGCTCACCCAGCACAGATAGAACCTCATCTTCCCTCACCTCCCACCCTCCCTCCACACCACACAATCCGACTGCATCTACAGACACCACGACCACAACCAACCACGCCAACACAGAAAGTACAACGCCAGTGACACGGACCACCACAGCGCACAGCTCACCCAGCACACACTCCCCACCCACCATATCTGTCTCTACCACAGTACACTCCACAGGTCCCCCAACAGCAACTCCCCTGCAGACCACCAGCACCCTCTACACCCCATCCACACCCCAGACCTCTCTGCTCCCAACATCCTCCTCCGCCTCCACTAAGATACCAACCTCCCACACCACCACATCCTCAAGCAGCCCTCACCCACTCCCTACCACTTCTACCTCAGGGACCACGGGCACCATACTGCCAACCTCCACCACCCAGAACACAGCCCCAACACAGACCTCCAGCACCACAGCCTATAGCTCACCCAGCACACACCCACCACCCACCATATCTGTCTCTACCACAGTACACTCCACAGGTCCCCCAACAGCAACTCCCCTGCAGACCACCAGCACCCCCTACACCCCTGCCACACCCCAGACCTCTCTGCTCCCAACATCCTCTTCTTCCTCCACTAAGGTACCAACCTCCCACACCACCACAGCCCCAAGCAGCCCTCACCCACTCTCTACCACTTCTATCCCGGGGACCACGGGCACCGTACTGCCAACCTCCACCACCCAGAACACAGCCCCAACAGAGACCTCCAGCACCACAGCCTACAGCTCACCCAGCACACACTCACCACCCACCATGTCTGTCTCTACCACAGTACACTCCACAGGTCCCCCAACAGCAACTCCCCTGCAGACCACCAGCACCCTCTACACCCCATCCATACCCCTGACCTCTCTGCTCCCAACATCCTATTCCTCCTCCTCCAGAACACCAAACTCCCACACCACCACACCCTCAAGCAGCCCTCACCCACTCTCTACCACTTCTACCCCAGGGACCACTGGCACCGTACTGGCAACCTCCACCACCCAGAACACAGCCCCAACACAGACCGCCAGCACCACAGCCTACAGCTCACCCAGCACAGACAGAACCTCATCTTCCCTCACCTCCCACCCTCCCTCCACACCACACAATCCGACTGCATCTGCAGACACCACTACCACAACCAACCATGCCACCACAGGAAGTACAACGCCAGTGACGCGGACCACCTTGGCCACAGCCAGCACAGCGCACAGCTCACCCAGCACACACTCACCACCCACCATGTCTGTCTACACCACAGCACACTCCACAGGTCCCCCAACAGCAACTCCCCTGCAGACCACCAGCACCCTCTACACCCCATCCACACCCCAGACCTCTCTGCTCCCAACATCCTATTCCTCTTCCTCCTCCACTAAGATACCAACCTCCCACACCACCACAGGCCCAAGCAGCCCTCACCCACTCTCCACCACTTCTACCCCAGGAACCACGGGCACCATACTGCCAACCTCCACCACCCAGAACACAGCCCCAACACAGACCTCCAGCACCACAGCCTACAGCTCACCCAGCACAGACAGAACCTCATCTTCCCTCACCTCCCACCCTCCCTCCACACCACACAATCCGACTGTATCCACAGACACCACGACCACAACCAACACAGGAAGTACAACGCCAGTGACACGGACCACCTTGGCCACAGCCAGCAAAGCGCACAGCTTACCCAGCACACACTCACCACCCACCATGTCTGTCTACACCACAGTACACTCCACAGGTCCCCCAACAGCAACTCCCCTGCAGACCACCAGCACCCTCTACACCCCATCCACACCCCAGACCTCTCTGCTCCCAACATCCTCCTCCTCCTCCTCCAGAACACCAAACTCCCACACCACCACATCCTCAAGCAGCCCTCACCCACTCTCTACCACTTCTATCCCAGGGACCACGGGCACCATACTGCCAACCTCCACCACCCAGAACACAGCCCCAACACAGACCTCCAGCACCACAGTCTACAGCTCACCCAGCACAGATAGAACCTCATCTTCCCTCACCTCCCACCCTCCCTCCACACCACACAATCCGACTGCATCTACAGACACCACGACCACAACCAACCACGCCAACACAGGAAGTACAACGCCAGTGACACGGACCACCACAGCGCACAGCTCACCCAGCACACACTCCCCACCCACCATGTCTGTCTACACCACAGCACACTCCACAGGTCCCCCAACAGCAACTCCCCTGCAGACCACCAGCACCCTCTACACCCCATCCATACCCCTGACCTCTCTGCTCCCAACATCCTCCTCCTCCTCCTCCAGAACACCAAACTCCCACACCACCACACCTTCAAGGAGCCCTCACCCACTCTCTACCACTTCTACCCCAGGGACCACTGGCACCATACTGCCAACCTCCACCACCCAGAACACAGCCCCAACACAGACCGCCAGCACCACAGCCTACAGCTCACCCAGCACAGACAGAACCTCATCTTCCCTCACCTCCCACCCTCCCTCCACACCACACAATCCGACTGCATCTGCAGACACCACTACCACAACCAACCATGCCACCACAGGAAGTACAACGCCAGTGACGCGGACCACCTTGGCCACAGCCAGCACAGCGCACAGCTCACCCAGCACACACTCCCCACCCACCATGTCTGTCTACACCACAGTACACTCCACAGGTCCCCGAACAGCAACTCCCCTGCAGACCACCAGCACCCTCTACACCCCATCCATACCCCAGATCTCTCTGCTCCCAACATCCTATTCCTCCTCCTCCTCCACTAAGATACCAACCTCCCACACCACCACAGGCCCAAGCAGCCCTCACCCACTCTCCACCACTTCTACCCCAGGAACCACGGGCACCATACTGCCAACCTCCACCACCCAGAACACAGCCCCAACACAGACCTCCAGCACCACAGCCTACAGCTCACCCAGCACAGACAGAACCTCATCTTCCCTCACCTCCCACCCTCCCTCCACACCACACAATCCGACTGCATCCACAGACACCACGACCACAACCAACACAGGAAGTACAACGCCAGTGACACGGACCACCTCGGCCACAGCCAGCACAGCGCACAGCTCACCCAGCACACACTCCCCACCCACCATGTCTGTCTACACCACAGTACACTCCACAGGTCCCCCAACAGCAACTCCCCTGCAGACCACCAGCACCCTCTACACCCCATCCACACCCCAGACCTCTCTGCTCCCAACATCCTCCTCCTCCTCCACTAAGATACCAACCTCCCACACCACCACATCCTCAAGCAGCCCTCACCCACTCCCTACCACTTCTACCTCAGGGACCACGGGCACCATACTGCCAACCTCCACCACCCAGAACACAGCCCCAACACAGACCTCCAGCACCACAGCCTACAGCTCACCCAGCACAGACAGAACTTCATCTTCCCTCACCTCCCACCCTCCCTCCACACCACACAATCCGACTGCATCCACAGACACCACGACCACAACCAACCACGCCAACACAGAAAGTACAACGCCAGTGACAAGGACCACCTCGGCCACAGCCAGCACAGCGCACAGCTCACCCAGCACACACTCCCCACCCACCATGTCTGTCTACACCACAGTACACTCCACAGGTCCCCCAACAGCAACTCCCCTGCAGACCACCAGCACCCTCTACACCCCATCCACACCCCAGACCTCTCTGCTCCCAACATCCTCCTCCTCCTCCACTAAGATACCAACCTCCCACACCACCACATCCTCAAGCAGCCCTCACCCACTCCCTACCACTTCTACCTCAGGGACCACGGGCACCATACTGCCAACCTCCACCACCCAGAACACAGCCCCAACACAGACCTCCAGCACTACAGCCTACAGCTCACCCAGCACAGACAGAACCTCATCTTCCCTCACCTCCCACCCTCCCTCCACACCACACAATCCGACTGCATCCACAGACACCACGACCACAACCAACCACGCCAACACAGAAAGTACAATGCCAGTGACAAGGACCACCTCGGCCACAGCCAGCACAGCGCACAGCTCACCCAGCACACACTCACCACCCACCATGTCTGTCTACACCACAGCACACTCCACAGGTCCCCCAACAGCAACTCCCCTGCAGACCACCAGCACCCTCTACACCCCATCCACACCCCAGACCTCTTTGCTGCCAACATCCTCCTCCTCTTCCTCGTTCTCCTCCGGGGCTCCAAGCTCCCACAGGACTCTCACCCCCATTGTTTCCCAGGTGGTCTCCAGCACCTCTACGTCAGGGCCCACTGGCACCCTCCTTCCAGCCAGCCCCGTGTCGGGCACAGGGCCGGCACCCACAACTCCACCTCTGACTCCCAGCACGGCGGCTCCCTCCGCGCCCCACAGCTCACTCAGCACAGACAGAACTTCTATGCCCACCCGGGGCCCGCTGTCTTCTCCTGGCAGCCCTGCGCTCAGCCCTCCACCCTCTTCCCTGACTACTCTGCACCCACTCCCGAGCCTGGCCCCCTCTCCTCCTCCCGCGAGCTTTCCTCCTTCCTCCACGGTTTGGCCCAGGACATCGCCCTCTCTTCCCACCCCTGCCATCTCGACCACGCTCCTTGCTTCCTCCACCGCCCCGCCCGCTTCTTCCCCCCCTCCCTCCCTCCCGTCCACTTCTCGGTACACCCCCACCCCCTCCTCCGTGCCCCCTTCCTCTGTTCCCCGGCCCACCACGCTGCCGCCCTCTTCCTCTCCTACAGCAGCCTCTACTGTGCTCAACACCCCGCTCTTGCCTTTGGCCTCTTCTCCTTCCCCCCCTCAGCTGCACCCCTCGCCCACCACGCACGTGCTTCCCGCCTCCACTCCCAGCTTGCTCCCTAGTGCCAGCCCTCTGTCTACACGGAGGACCACACTCCACATTCCCACATTCTCTGCCTCTGCCTCTCAATCCTCCACCGCCCAGGTGACCTCTCTTACCACCCACACCCCCTCCGCGGGCCCCCTGCCGTCCACCTTGTCCACGACGACCTACCCGGGCGCCACAGTCACCATCCTGACGAGCAGGCCTCCTGGGGCCACCCACCTGCCTACCTCTATGTTCCCGGCCGCCTCACGCCCTCCCGCTGGAAGCCCTTCCGCGTCTACCCCGCAGCCTCCAGCCCCTACCAGCCCCTGGGGCTCCTCAGCCGTGACCTCTCCACCCAGGCCATCTGGTGAGTAGTTTGCTCCCTCCCGGGCCTCTGGTGCCCGTCCTCCCCTTCCTGCCCCTCTCTGGACAGCACTCTGGATACACCCCTTCCGACCTCCGCCTTCCCCCACCTCCTGGAACCTTCATGCTGGACAGATTCTTGGCCCTCCCCAGGCCTGTCTGCATCTCACTGGAGCATCTGTCCTTCTCCAAAGCAGCCCTCTCTCCGTGCAAGCAGGCCCTTGCATGGTATTCCCCGCACCCATGCCCCGTCGTCTTGGCCTTCCTTCTGGCTGACACCTACAGCGGCCTCCACCCCACCCCCGACTGTAGAGCCACAGAGGACAGCCCCAGAAGGCACCTCCTCCTGGTGACCTGCAGGAGGCCAGGGGCAGGCAGCCAGGGCTGCCTTCCATCGGGCACTGGTTGCCAGCCAGTGCTCACGTCCTCCTGCCCACACACATCCAGGACTCCCCGCAGATGGAGCCCTGCCCCTCTGCACACCCCTGGAGACACCCCTCCTTCCCATGGTATCCCGTGGGGTGAGCCCTAGGCCTCCCATGGGCAGCACGTGCCACACTAGGCCTCCTACGGGCAGCACGTGTCCACGCTGATGCACGTGTGGCAGCTGGTCACTGAGCCAGGTGCTCGCAGGCTCTCAGGAGGCCCGGGGAGGGCAGGACGTAGGACTCCAGGCCCGCTACAGAACAGCCCGAGTGGAGAAGCTAGGCAGGCTTGGGCCAGGAAGGAGTCAGCACAGGGCAGGAAGACGCATGGGGCAGAATTCCAGGTTTTGCCCAGGATTTTTTTAAGCTTTTTAACCCAGTTCCACATTGGTAGTTTTTCTCCTTTATTTTGTTGGTGGTGTTTGTTCATTTTTTGGAACAGTCTCACAGCATCACCCAGATTGGTCTTGAGCTCATGACTCTCTTGCTTCAGTCTCTCAAGTGCTGGCAGCGCAGACGTACACTGCCAAGCCCAGCTGGCACTGGCAGCTCCTGATGCCACCGGGGTGCCCTGCCCGCCTCCTGCACACCACGGCCTGTCATGAGGCATGCCGGCCCCACTTCCAGAAAACCCGCTTTGCTGTCCCTCCTATGTGCGGGAACTGAAAGGGGAGATGCCTCTCCTTGGACACAGTCTCCTTGGCCTTGGGCACCCGCAGACTCAAGGCACCTAGTTAACCGGAAGCACAGCTCATCCCCGCTCATTTTCAGGCTCTTTAAGTACAAGAATGCCAGGCTTTTGTCCTGGGCAAAGCTGTGGTCTGAGCTCTAGGGGGCTGTGCAGGCCAGACATGCTATAAGGCAAGGGGGGAGTCGGGAAGGGCCCACACCCCGAGCCTGGTCTGCAGGGTCTCACCACAGCGCCCCCCTCTGGTCCAGGGCCCTGTGGCCTGTTGGAGCAGGAGCGGCAGATCACCTACCAGGGGTGCGAGGTGAATGTGACCCTGACTCACTGCGAGGGCCTGTGCTCCTCTTCGGTCAGGTGAGCCACTGGCGGGCGCCCTCCTCCCAGCGGGGCCCAGCCGCCCCAGCCACACGCTCCCGGCGCCCCCGGCACCAGCCTGTCTGACCAGGCTGAGTGGCTGGCTCCGTGCCTGGGCCCATGCCACATACCTGCGTCTGCACGTGGCTGGCCACACCGAGGGCCCGGCCTGCACGCCTGGTGACAGGGTGCCCTGCTCTGGGGTGGCCTGCGGAGGGGACGGCATCCTGACCTGACTGGCCTCTGCTCCTTGCCAGCTTCAACACCGACACGCTGCAGGTGGGCACCCACTGCAGCTGCTGCGACCCGCTCGGCACCTATGAGCAGCAGGTCCTGCTGCCCTGCCCAGACCCCAGCGCACCAGGCCGGCAGCTCACACTCACCCTACAGCTGTTCAGCGGCTGTGCGTGCCGCCCGTGGAACTGCAGACACTGAAAAGGCCTTCCTGTTCTCCTGGGAGTGAAGTCACAGATTAAAATACAACATACTTTTTTTTTTGGTCAATTGTGGGTCTTGAACTCTGGGCCTGGGCGCTGTCCCTGCACTCTTCAGCTCGAGGAGAGCACTCTACCATTTGAGCCACAGTGCCACTTCCAGTTTTCTGGTGGTTTACTGGAAATAAGAGTCCCACAGACTTTCAGATCTCAGCCTCCTGAGTAGCTAGGATGACAGGCATGAGCCACCAGGGCCCAGCTTAAAACACCACTGTGACATCTTCTCTGGGTCTATTTAGCAGACCTTTCCCTGGCCATGGCCCGGCCTCAAAGTACCCTTTGACGTGGCTCACGTAAGCACCAGTAAGGAATGGTGAACTGAAGAGCCTGCTCTGACACGCAGGGAGGTCACTTCCTGTCTGCACCATCCATCTGCATGCCACACTATAGTCCCACCACCCTGACAGGAGCAGACACCAGAGAAGGGGCAGCTCCACCCGGGTCCTCAGGAGATGCAGAACTGCTCGGATGGTGGCCCAAGGGTGTGGGCAATGGGCAGGAGACAAGTGGGACTAAAGATAAGGAAGGCACTAAAGCTGGAGGAGGGGATTCCTAATGAGCCAGGGAGGGGCAGAGGGGGAGGAGGGCAACAGTAGCACGCAGGAGGAGAGGAAGCTGCTTCCGACTCGTCTTCAGAGAGGTCTATCACCTGCCAAAAAGCTGATTCCAACTAAAATGATTCTTGTCAGACAAAGGCTGCTCCTTGGGCATTTGGTTACAAATCAAGACCCTCAGGGATCAAATTCCTACACACATCTGTACAGGTCAGGCCACCGTAGTTCTACCCCAATCATGCACACTTGCTTAAGTGGCATCACCAGAGTTCTGTTCTACTCCCCAACACACCTGCACACCAGGACACCGGAATCCTCCGATCACACCCACACAGAAAGGGACGCCAGTACCCCGTCACAGCTGCACGGCAGACCTGTATGGGTTGGGCCACCAGGAGGCCCAAGGGGCTGAGCAAGACCTGTGTCCCCAGCTGGCTGGAGTGAGGACACCACCCCTCCCCTCGAGGCCCTCCCCTCGGGACGTTTCAAGTCCATGGTGGAGCGAGCCCACAGTGCTCTGGGTCCCCCCCCCCATCTGTACCCACCGCAGAGGGCTCCCCAGGCAGGGGCCATCCTGCCCAGGTCCAGAACGCTGGGTCCACACGAGGTGAGGGAGCCCTGTGCCTGCTCCTCTTCTAGGCCTACAACACAGGCCTTCAAGAGTCAGGACCCCAGAGGAGCCACAGCGCAGCTCTACTGTGCACAGATTAGGCTCAGCCACACCTGAACCCACTGGGCAGGAGACAGCCCTGCTCCAACACTGCTGCGCGTGGAGCGGCAAGTGACAGGACCCAAGGTCCTTGATGCTCAGCTCCCCACAATGCCCACAAGGGACTGAGGGCTATGTACGATGCTCACCCCGCCCCCTCCCCCCCACAAAGACCACACATGGGCATGGGTCACACTCCAGAATTTATTTTTCTCTGAGAAGGAGCACACCGGACTGACAGGGGCTCTTGATGCAGAGCAAAGGCTTGTGCTCCAGCAGCCACCCTTCCTATGTCCCAGACACCACCACCAGGGAGCACTCAAGCCGTAGCCACACAGGCACATGGCCATCCACACGGTGGAAAGAGACTCTGTCCGGCCACTAGAGAAAGGACACGGAAGCTTGCTCCCGCCACAGCCACACCATCCACCCGCAGCACAAGCCTTGGCAGTTGGGCATCAGACTCTGCGGCCAGACCACGGACTCCACGGGACACAAGGACCAGTACACGAGGTTGTCTGTTCTGAAACCAACACAAAGGCTGTGCGCGTGGGGCTGCCAGGGACCCCCGGAGCTGTCACGAGAGGCTGCGGCCTGAGGCTGGCTGAAGGACCTTATGTGCAGCTGACTGGTGCCCCTGTGAACTAGAGGGACCTGACAGCTGGGGCACGTGCTCAGATGGAACCTGCCCCTCCTGACGGTGTCCACATGTGGGGGCGGAGTGCAGGGCTTCCCGTGGCTCCAAAGGCCTCTGCCCTGGACTGGGCTCCTGACTGGGCCTGCAGGGCCCACCTAACCTGCGCAAGACCCGTGCTGGACAGCAGCACACCAGCCAGAGAGCCCCGTACAGCCTCGCACAGCACAGGCCAGCTGCCCTCCTTGTCCCTGGCCTCTTCATTCCCTGACCAACCAGGCCTCCCTCCTCCACCCCGCCTCACGCAAGGGCTGGACAGGTGCAGGTCTGCAGCACCCAGGCCTCAACAGGAAAACCACGAGCCAGGAAAATAAAGCACAGCCTTGCTCCGCCACTCCACGCTTGTGACACCCCCGTCCCAGAACGCACCCAGGACAATGCACCCATTTAAAACAAAAGGAGCCAGGTCTGGTACATCCCCCAGCGCCACTGGGAACTCCTTCCCACCATGCTGCAAATCCACAGTTTCAAACAAGTAGAATGAATGTCTCTAATGTCCCTTCAAGAAAAATGGGGCTGTGAAAAGAATGGCCACAGAGGTGAGCATGGCACGTCGCTTTGCCAACAGTCAATAAAGCAAGTTAAAAATCCTACCCCAGAAACCATCAGGGGTGCTACAGCAACCCGTATGAACACGTTTCCCAGCCTGCTGCGTCAGCCACACACATCAAGCCATTTGTGTCACTCCCAGCATGGCCAGAGCCCAGAGTCATTGCTACAAGCAGAGAGAGCTGTTCCCAGGGTCTGAGATTAGGCCAGCCGCCCTACGGCAGCACTTCAATAAAATTTCAACAAAATTTCCACTTTCATTCAAACTTCTAATTTCCCTTTTAATGTGCCAGGCCGACCCCCAGGGCTGTCTTGATTCCCAGGTCCAGGCTCCCTCCTCTGACGGGGCAGGCCGGCTGCAGCCCTTCTGGAACCGCGTTCTGTGTCCCATCCACACCCACGGAGCCGTCTGGAGGTGCAGGGCTGCAGACGCCTTGTGCTGTGGGGTTCAGACAAGGGGTGTTTATTTGCAGTACGGTAACGAAGACAAATGGTAGAGACGAAGAGAAACGCACAAACACATGAGCCTGATCTTCCATCCTTGAGGATCAGAACTGCTCCGACAGCAATTCACATAATCTCTGAGACACGGTGTCTTTGCTTGTGCGCAGTGTGAGTCGGTACATCTGAAACAGAAAGCGACGGTCAGTGGGCACGGGCGCTGGCAAGCCTCAGCCAGGGCCTTTCAGCCCGGGGTATGCCATACCCAGGGGCTGCGCGAGCTCTCCCCGGCTCCCCCATTCTGGAAGCCGGCTCTCACCGCAGTGGACACAGAGCAGAGGCTGGGGAGAGTGGGTGGGTGCCTGCCAGGCACTCTGACAAGACGTTTGGCAGCTTCTCACAAAGCCAGCTGCGGATCTACCCTGTGAGCCAGCCAGGCTCTCCTGGGACCAGCCATGTGAACTGACTGAACACCAGTACCCAACCAACAAGAACCAGACCCAGAGCAGAACTAAGAGCAGACACAGCGCAGGCACTAGGACACAAAGGTTTCCACTCAGCTTGGTGAGGAGAACGCTGCTCAAGCTGCCACAGAGCAGCAGGGTGGAGCTCAGCAAGAGCTCGAAGCTAAAGCAGGCATTGCCTCGGGAGCTGAGCGCAACACAACCACAAGGGGCATCAGGGCAGCAGCCAGGGTCATTTGTGGGTAGAGGGAGACAGCACACTCACTGACCGGGGGCAGCTATGGGAGAGGAGTAAGCCTCTGTCAGCATGACCCACTGGACTTGGGGTCCCTGTAACCCTCTCTGCACATAAACTGAGCTGGGCCTAACAATCTGGGCACACCCGCCTGCCTCCCTGGAGGCCTGACCTGGGCTTGCAGATTCGGCTCCAGACGCAACAAGCACCCAATCTGGGTAGTTTTGGTGTGTATGATGCCAGCACCCACAAAATTTGCAGGATTGGGGTCAACTTCCTCAAGGAGTGCAGAACCAAATCCAATAATCTGCTCAGAAGAAGAGAAGGGGTCAGGACGCTGGCTGGCACTGGACCACAGGCCCCCTGCCTGGAGGACCTTCCCGCACCCTTTACCTTCGCTTTAGTGATCTCCGTATCCATGGGATGCTTTGCTTTGAAAATGTTTTGCACTTCTTGTTGTGGACTGTGAGAAACAGCACCCAGGGTGAGTACGGGGGCCAAGCGAGAGGCACACGGACTGTCCTATACAGAGGCCCTGCTCCTCCCCACCCTGCCCTCTCACTTGCTCAACTGCTTCCAGCGCTGAAAGAAATCCTGAGAAGCCATTTCTGTGGGCTGGAAAAACTTGTTGAGTGTGATGGGCAGCTTAACGGAGACATTCTGGAATGTGCCGCCATACCTGCAAGCACAGAGAATAACTGGAGACCCAGAAATTCAGTTGGAAAATCGTCGGGGCACCAGGACGGGCCAAGGTACCCCACCGCATGCCATACAGGGCGCCCTCAGCACTGTGTCCCCAGAGCTAAGCCTCCACCCAACGCACCAAGGACAGTCTGTGTCCGGTGACATGCACAGACCAGCAAAGCTGGGGCCGCCACTCATCTGAGTCCGGAGGCCAAGCTCCGCTCTCAGCCCAGCTCCTTGAGCAAACGAAGACCTGGACAGGCCCTACACCACCACCTCCACCCACCCCGCTCTGCTTTTCCCCAGGTGTGCAAGACGAGCCTTCCTCTCCTAGGCCAGTGTCAGGAAAAAGTCAGTCACCACCACCCCTGCAGCCGTCCTTTGGAGCTAGCCCCAGCAGACCCCCGAGGACTAGCTGCCCAGCCCAGAGCGGGGAGTGAATGCCCTCAAGTCGGAAACGCCCTCGCCTGCAAGCCTCCCAGGAGCAGGAAGACCCCACAGGCAAGGTGGTACCGCACCAGGGTCACAGGCCAGCTTCCACCCCCCTCCAGCCACAGGCAACTGGAGCTTGCTGTGTGGGTTCGCCGAGATGCAGCGACACGCTCTCAGTAAAGACACAGAACTGACAGAGCCAGGCAGTGCCCACAGGCTCTGCGCACCGAGGACGTGCGCGCAGCTCTCACCTGAACTGGAGGTTGAGGACCGGCGCCTCCGTGAAGTCAGACAGGCACTCGATGTTGACTGCCTGCTGCACCTGCGCACCCCCGTCCACAGTGGGGTCCACAGGCTTGGTCTGCAGCTTCAGATGTGAGCTGTTAAGGGGTCCAGATCACGCGGGGTGCCCACTGCCCCTGCCTCCCACCAACACTGCTGACCAAGGCTCAGGACCACAGCCAGCCCTGCCAGAACAGAGCCGGCACGGCACCCGGCCAGCTTACACACGGACTGCTGGCCTTGTCTTGGCTCTGTGCCCACTGGCTCTGGCACTTACACATGGATTGCTGTTGCTCTCGGGAGAAACCAGAGCTTGTTTACTATAAGGGCTGGGAGAACCCCTGGGTTCTGCGTGAATCAGAGTCTGCCTTGCTCCGAGTATGGTGCTTGAAAGCAGCCAACACAAGACTCTTAGTGATGTCCCTGCAAACAAGACACAGGAGACCTTTCCTGGATACATCCTATGCCATCAGCCACACACTGCCAGGCTCTGCACCACCCCTGTCCCACAGAGTCCAGTGATTCCCAGAGAAGAGGACACACAGAAAGTGGCTGTGTGTGCAGGAACGTACATAGCCAGTCCTGCATGCGTGTGTGTTTCCACTGTGCCTGTGCTGGGGGGACAAGCTCTCTATCACTGAGCTACGGACATGGCCCCCCTACAGTTTCAATCATCCGCACTGAATGAACAGGGAGCTGCCCCTTACAGAGCCTACTGTTTCACTCTTCTGGGGTCATGAGCCCAAGGGGGAGCATCCCTCTCGGCTGAGCTGCACTGGAGGAAGACATCACTGGGAGGAAGTGCAGCGGACTCCAGCTGTCTCCTTCAACTGAAGCCTTCTCCTGGTATTCCTAAGGACCTCCAAGGGATCAGTCTTCGGTGTAAACAAAGGGTTGCTAGAGTGAACAGAAGCCCAGAAGCCCAGGTTTGTCACCAGATGCTCACGCTGCTCACCTGAGGGGCTTCACACAGGGGGCCAGAGCTCATCACAGAACAACAAAACAAGCTAGAAAGCAAATGACTCCATAGGCTAGATAAAAGCAGACATACATACACAAATGATGTTCAATGTATCATCCAAAGTCAATTCTCAAGCACAAACGTGTACATGATTTTACTGACCACCTAGAAATAACTTTCTATTTTGACCAAGAACAACTCTCTTCAAAGCCTCCTCTAAATCCTATTTGCTGCCTATCTATGTGTCTGTGTCAGTCTGGGCCTGGGGAGAGAGCCAAGGATATTAGCCTGAAGGTCGTCTGCACAGATCAGTGTTGGAGTGAAGTTTAAGAACTGCGTGGAGGTCTTGTTACCATAAAATATGAACATCCGCCCTAGAAAAAAAACAAAAACAAAAGCAGTTTATCTCACCATGTCTCCATAGTATATCCCCTGAAGCCTCCAAGTAAGTTGAGTTCTTATGATGCATACCTGTTTTTAAAACTAAGAACTTCTCATTACCTGACTTAGAAAACAGACCCTTAGTAATAACAATAAATTATTTTCAAATACACATATATATATGAACAATTTTTTTAGCTTTAAAAATAGCAGGCCAGTTGGCATCTACCCTGAGCAACAGGAACCAGGATACAAGGACACATGCACCTCCATGTTCACTAGAGCACTGTTCACAATAGCCAAGATATAGAAACAACCCAGATGCCCCGCTACAGATGAATGGATCCAAAAATTGTGGTACCTATACACAATGGAATATTATGCAGCCATTAGAAAGGACAAAATAATGGCATTCGCAGAGAAACGGATGGCACTAGAACAAATCATGTTGAGTGAGGTAAGTCAAGAGCCAAACGGCACATGGTCTCCCTGATATATGGATGTTAAATCCAAAATGCAAGGAGATACAACAAAGTAAACAGGACTTGAGAAACAAAGGTCATTGCTAAATGACTCCATGCTGCTGACCATACATACGGCTGGGGGCGGGGGGGGGGGGGGGGTGTCTGTGTGTGCATGTGTGCTTGCGTCTGCGCACACACACACACCTCTAGGGAAGCTAGGGGGAGGCACAGAATCAGAAGGAAACAGAGAAAATTACAACAGAGGGGCCCATCAGCTGCACTGGACATGGATGAAAGAACTGAGCAACTCAAGGGCGGCGATGGGAGGGAGGGAAGGAGAGGGAAAGAGGGAGCTGTTGACGCTAAGCAAAAGTGAAGAAATGTGCACACCACCCGATGTGGAAGAAATTATATTATATTGTCAAAGCTCATACAATTCACAAACTGTATAGACCACAATAATGACAATTTGCCTTGTGAAGGTTAAAATGTGTGACTTTAACTGAGCATCACTATCTCACAATACTGTGAAATTTGTGAAATGTATGTAATCACTTAAGCACAATAAAAAATTATTTTTTAAAAAAATAGCATGCCAGCTGGGCACCGGTGGCTCACGCCTGTAATCCTAGCCTCCTCTCAGGAGGATTGTGGTTCAAAGCCATCCCGGGCAAGAAAGTCTGTGAGACTCTTATCTCCAATAAACCACTAGAAAACCAGAAGAGGCCCTGTGGCTCAAGCGGTAGAGCACTGGCCTTGAGCTGAAGAGCTGAGGGACAGAGCCCAGGCCCAGAGTTCAAGCCCCACGACCGACAAACATAAAAATAAAAATAGCATGACAGCTGGAAACAGGAAGTTGTCTCTCCAGCCTCCAGGTGCCTATCTCCAAGCCGCCCATGCTCTCACAGAGCAGGGAGAGGCAGGGAGAGCTACAAATGACAAGCTTGGAGGGCCAGCTGACACTGGCAGATCTGCTTCCAGGGATCTTCTCAGGACCACAGTCACACCTGTCTTCCCTATACCAGCAACAGCGAGACCACCCACATACCTCTCCAAGGGAGGCCTGGCTGAACCACATTCACAGCCAGCCTGGTACTGATGCTGCCCAGGCAGGCCAGTCCCACACGCACGGACCCTTCACTGTGGCCATCAGCCCTCCACAAGGCCATGTTCAATGCCTCACTGTTCTAGCTAACCAGGCAGTGATGCCTTCACCCAGGTCTTAGTGGATACTTTTATCCTTTAAGTTCAGAAAGGAAACTAAGCTGAGCATTGGTGGCTCATGCCTGTAATCCTAGATACTCAGGAGGCTGAGATCTGAGGATCAAAGTTTGAAGCTAGACTGGGCAGAAAAGTCCCCGTGAGACTCTTTTATCTCCAATTAACCACTCAAAAAAGACTGCTGTGGCTCAAAGTAGTAGAGTACTAGCCCTGGGTGAAAGAGCTCAGGGACAGTGCCCAGATTCTGAATTCAAACCCTACAACTCAGAAGGAAAGAAGGGGATGGAAGGAGAGGGAAGAGGGGAGGAGAGAGAGGGAGGGGGCAGGAGGAAGGGAGGGAGGGAGGCAGGCAGGCAGGGAGGGAGGGAGGGAGGCAGGCAGGCAGGCAGGCTGGCTGGCTTGTGGGAATGGCTCAAGGTTTAGTTTTTTTCTCTATAAAAAGGTAAAGCAGGGCTGGGAAGTTGGTTCAGTGGTAGAGCACTTGCCTCGCATGAATGAGGCCCTGGAAGTGGTGCTGTGGCTCAAGTGGTAGGACACTAGCCTTGAGCTGACGAGCTGAGGGACAGCGCCCAGGCCCAGAGTTCAGGCCCCACGACCAGCCAAAAAAAAAAAAAGAAAGAAAGAAAGAAAGATAAAGGCAAAGCAGTCTGATGTCATTGCTTTAGCACAGCTGGGTAAAGCCATGGACAGAGATGAAGCCTCAGCCAGACAGGTGTAGGACGGCTGGAATCTGGCTCTTGGACTTGCAAGTCTCTGGAACCCTCTGGTGCAAGTGACTTTGAGTGCTGACACCAGGTGGGACTGCCAAGTTCATCTGGCCACATGCTGGGAAAGGCGCCTGAAAGCCAACAAGTCCTCCTGAAATACCCGACGGCAGTGGTGATAGCGTGAGGACCTGAGCGCCATGCTAGGGAGACAGGAACGAAAGCAACCGCTCCTCCCTTTATGGATGACGCACACCTTTACGCAGAGAATACTGCACATCAGAAGCCACAAAGACGTCACAAGAAGATTATAGCTGAGAGAGGAGAGAAAAATAATATATAGAGGAAGCTAGGTAACAACTCTCCAGCCTTTCAAAATGAAAGAAAAAGGATGAATACAGCCCTACTAAGTCTTCGAGCATGCCAGTTATGAACCAGTGTGCTACACCACAGGAGCGCGAGAGCCCAGCCTCACACTGGAGGAGGAGGAAAGTGTGGCGATGAATGTGGCTAGAAATGAAAAGGAGGAAGACCACGGCAGCACTAGGCAAGAACTTGCAGGCAGGAGCCAGATGGCGCAAGCTTGTAACTTATCCTTCGAGAGGCTAAGTTAGGAGGACAGAGTTTGAGGCCAGCCTGGATGCACAAGGAGAGACACTGTCTCAAAATAAAAGTGAAAAGGAGGCCAGGCCAGGCAATCTCAGGAGTTACATTTAAAGGACTTGTTTCACTATGTCGTGTTGCATCTCTACAGAAAAGCCATGCAAGATTTTTTTCAATTTCTATATTATATTTATTCTAACAGTTTTATCAAACTGGTATTAGGAAGAAATGGCAAGCATTTACTTTGATATGAAAAGCTTCAAAATATAGGAAAATGACCAAGAAACTATATATAGAAATACACTTAATAACGGTATATAATTATTAATGATCTTGAGGGAAAGAGCATTATCAAAATGAACCATGTATACTAGGTATGGATCTTCAGCTGTTATCTTGGAGCTTTTATCTTTTTTCTAAGAGTACTGGTACTGAAAAACTTAGAACATAAAACATAGCTTATCAACTGTTTATGACATCCAAATCTGTAGCAGAATGCTTTAAATATGTGTTGAGTATTTTAAAGCATTTTATAGTTTATAATATGAAATAATATATAAAACTAGCGTCTTTACTACATGTGGCTATGTTCCAATCCAGAGGCTCATTTTTTTTGTTTTTTTTTTGTTTGTTTCTGTGTTGGTTCCGGGGCTTGAACTCCGGGCTTGGGTGCTGTCCCTGAGCTTTTGTGCTCAAAGCCAGCACTCTACCACCTAAACCATAGCTCCATTTCTAGCTTTTTGGTGGTTCACTGGAGAAAAGAGTCTCACCAATTTTCCTATCCAAGCTGGCTTCAAACCATGAGCCTCAGATCTTCAGGCTCCTAAGTAGCTTAGGATTAAAGATCGGAGCCACCAGCACCCAGTGAGACTCAGGGCTTGTTGCTTTAAACTGAGAAGTTTCATTGTATATTCAAGATCATGGGCTTGTATGTACCTTCATTTATAAAACATCTGTAACACGACTCTGCGTTTTAAAGTATTTGGTAGTGCTTTACTGCTTAAGCAAAGGAATGAGTGCAGTGGGCTCTGGTCTCTTGAGACAACTGCATGTGGTTGATAACCCAAATTAGAACATTCAGTCGTGTTTAAAGGCACAGCGCATGGGCATTAGCACACTGGCATCTTGCAACCATCCCACCACCCACCTCCAGAACGTTCTCATCTTCCCAACTGAAAGTGTCCCCACTAAACACTGATTCTTTAGCCCCTGGCACCATCCTACCCTTCGTGGAGTGCTCTGGGGACCTCGTGAGTGGAATGATGCAGTACTTTGACTTTTGAGTCTGGCTTATCTCCCTTAATGCCATCCCCATAGTAGGTTCTGTCAACATCTCCAACCCCGGTGCACATCTGTCATATCGCTCGAGCTTTCATCCTTTCCCTCCTCATTTGGCTGCTTCGAGTACACACATCTCTCTCTTCAAGACCCTGCTTTCCTTTCTGTGCCTACTCCCACAAGTGAGACTGTGGATCCTATATTCAAGTCTACAGGACCTCACCCTGACTCCACTGCAGGCCTGCCAGCTCACAGCTCCGGTAGCAACGTGCACGATGCCACCTTTCTGCACTTGTCTGTGTGACACGGCCGTCCTCACCTGTGAGGCAGCAGCTTTTTGTAGTTTGGGTTTGTGTTTCCCTAACAACCAGGGAAGAATAGCTTCTGGTATGTTTCCTGATCATTTGCTCATCTCTTTGGGAAAGTGCCTACGCCATTTTATAAAGTAGGTTGTTCATTTTCCAGTGGGTGTATAAAGGAGCATCTTACACATTCTGGATATAAATGCTCTGTCAGTGTATGACTTGTAAACATTTTTCATAATTCTCCCACTCTCTTTTCATTTGTTTCAGGTTTTGGGGTTTTGTTTTTTGGGGGCCGGTTGTGGGGCTTGAACTCTGGGCCTGGGTGCTATCCCTGAGCTTTTCAAGTTCAAGGCAAGAGCTCTACCACTCAAGCCACAGCTCCACTTCTGGTTTTCTGGTGGTTAACTGGAGATAAGAGTCTCACAGATGTCACTGCCTGGACTGGCTTTGAACCATGATCCTCAGATCTCAGCCTCCTGAGTAGCTAGGATTATAGGCGTGAGCCACCAGAGCCTGGCTGTTTGCTTTTAAGACAGGGTTTCACCATATGACAGAAGCTGGCCTAGAACTTGCAATCCTCCTGCTTCAGCTTCCCGAATGCCAGGATTATTACAAGCATGGACAATCATTCCACACCAGTAGTTTCCCATAGTTTGTAGACACTTTTATTAAGAAATTAAAACACATACCTAAGTTCTGCCGAAATTCAGACTTAAGTCCAATTTGAAGCAGCTGGTTTTCAAACAACACACCATTATTTTTACAAACAAACCTAGGAGAAAAGGACAGAATGTATGTCACTCAAATTGCCCATTTGAAATACAAGAATTTGTTTTGCAAAAGAGTTTAAGTACATGAGATCTTAGCTGGAGACAGCTCTAGCAGTAGAGCTCCTGCCCTGGCAAACACAAGGCCCTGAACTCAAACCCCACCGTTGCCAACAACGTAAAAAATAAAGGAGAAAATACCCAAGACCAGAACACCTCTGTGGCTGGAAGACAGGAGAGAACAAAGAAACAGCGAGATCTCACTGAGAGGGACACAGAGACTGAGTGGGCGGCAGCAGGACTCCTCCGGCAGCAGCCCCCAGGAGAGAGAGATGTCACTCATCATGACAGAGGCAAGGTCAAGGTGAGGAGGCTGGCAGCAGAGGGTGCACCTGTGGCCCATGCTGTGCCTGAGAAACAGTCCCCAGTGGCAGACGCCTGGAAGTTTCCACCTGCACCTGCGCCTGCATAGACTCCATGATCAAGTTACTCTTTGCCAGAGACCACAGCAGCAGCAGACTTCCCTGGGTCCGCAACCCTGAGACATGCGGTCAGAATGTTGTGTGGGGCCTCAGCAAGGGCCTCAGGGGCTCGGCTGGTCCCACTCAACCTGCTGTGCCCACAGGACGCAGAGGCAGCAGCCCTCCCCCCCCACCCACACACACAAACACATGACTATAACTCAGCAGGTGTCTACGCAGCTCTGGCCACAGTAAGAAGACTCAAGCCAAGTACTGCCTATTCAACTGCAGCCCAACCTTCACAACACTGCTGAGAGTATATGCAAGCACATGTAGTCTGGAGTTGCTCACAACAGCTGTCCTGCAGCTGGGAGCAGCGGCAACCAATCTGCTGCCTGAGGGAGAGCAGGGGCAGCTCCTCCATGCCCAGCTCAGACGCCATTCAAGGTGCTAGAGCCAACACCATCCATGGGCCCACATACTTGGTTCTAGATGAAGTCACCTTAAACTCAAGAATGCCAAACCGCCACCCACAAGACTGCAGAGAAGCCCCTGGTGCCCTCATCTGTTTGCTGGTTGCTTTCCAAAGGGTCTGCACCTTGACCTTGCAATGTAGGGACAAAGAGAATCCATGTCAGAATGGTACAAAGTCCAGCCTCCTGCAGGCACGCTGTGCCCCACAACCCACTCCTGTTCCATCTTGTGCCACAGGCCAAACAATGACCTTAGGGGTCCCCAGGCAAAGCTACCATAAACACCAGCACAGGCTGCAGTCCCAAAGAACTAGGCCTAGTGCCCCAATAGCCAGGTTAACAGGAGTAGGGCCAGCCAGGGTACCAGACCTACAGAGTGGCCTCTGGAGACCTGGAGGCGGGGGGGGGGGGGGGGGGGGGGTGCGGCGGGCGGCAGCAGCAGAAGCTTCAGGCCACCGACACCACCACCCACTCGCTCTCCTCCACCACCCTGCTCCCAACAGAACAGCAGCTGCTCTGGGTCACCTAGGATACTACAAACGCTACCTTGTGAGCCCAGTTAACCAGCAACTGACAGCACTCAGCCCGCCACAAGCAGATTCTCAAAACCCCGACAGTGAGGTAACACCACAGCAAGGCCAAGACCACTCACTGGAGCCCTCAGTCACCATGCAGCCATGCAGCCCTCAGCCAAGACAGGAGAGTTAGAGGCTTCCCCTCCCCAACCCAGCCAGGAGGTGGCAGCCCCAGCCCCGCCCCGCCCCGCCCCACCCCGCCCCGCCCCGCCCCGCCCAGCCCAGCCCAGCCCAGCCCAGCCCAGCCCCAGCCCCAGCCCCAGCCCCAGCCCCGCCCAGCCCAGCCCAGCCCAGCCCAGCCCAGCCCAGCCGGGAGGTGGCTTCCCCAGCCCAGCCCAGCCCAGGTCAGAACAGGCAGTGGCTTCCCCCTTAGCAGCTATGGACCTGGGTTTTCTGTGGTGCCTTCAAATCCCAAACTCAGCAGTTCTAAAGTGCTAAGAATCTGTTTTCAGCCAGAGAAGCAACTTACACCAAGACCACATTCTAAACCCATCTTCCCTAAAAGGACGTAAGAATCAGTGTGCAAAATGAACACAAGGAAATAAAAATATCTAAAACAACAAGTCCCACCAACATCTGCAAGAGAAAGGACCAAGGACCACTCCCGAAGCTCCCTCATCTACACTCAGGACAGAACCCAGGCCACCACTGTAGAGGTGCAGGAGCTTCACATCACCTGCACACTGACACAGCAGAGCCAAGACAGTACCGAGGGAATCTGCTGCAGCAAAAGGAAAGAGCAGGTGCTGGGAGAGAAGTCTGACAGCTCCCTTTTGAAAATGGGAGACAGCGGGGAGGAAGGAACTGAACAAGGGGCACACACAGGAATCCAGGCACAGACACCTGCAGAGTCAGGAGGACAGAGCCAGAGGCAGGAACCTCTGAGCTTGGCCAGCAGGAACAGGGCAGGAAGTCACCGGCAGAGTCCAATGGAATAGCTCCGCTAAACAACTAATGGACTGCTTAACAAAAGTGGCACGGGTGGGGAGGGCCGGGGAGGTGGGGGGATACCAATGGAGCAGGAAAGGTGCGCAAATGCAGTCACATATTCAATACACATATGTAAAAACTGAACTAAGCCACTTGAGGATAAGGATGGGAAAGGAGAGCTGGGGGAGGGCAACCAAAGTCGTGACACCTATCAACCGCACAACGCTTATATCATCATCATCATCATCACAGCACGTAGCTAGAAGGCAAACAAAGGCACAGTGAAGAGTTCAAAACACCAGACAAGAGGACAGGAGAAAGGCAAAAAAAAAGCGCCAGCATCGTTGATGAAGCACCCTAACAACAAGGAACAAAGGAGACAACATAATTACATCCTCAGGTACAAGCAAGGCAGACCATGTGGTCTACCATCCCACACAGCACCCAACACCAACCACCTCCATCAAACAGTGACCAGACCCAGCTCTGCACAGCTGACCCTGGCCAGTCTTTGGGACCGAGGGAACCTGGCTACCTGGCAAAGTTGTCTTCCGAGCCTGGAGCAAGCGGTGCGACCGCAGAAGCTGAGTCTGAAAACACGTCCACCAGCAGCCCGCCACCACCAGCAGAGGCAGGGGGCACGGCAGGAGCCGGGGGAGCGGCCCCCAGACCCAGCAAGTCTGCCGACGGAGAAGGCGTGGACTGGAAAAGAAGGAAGGAGAGGGTCAGCCGTGCATCTGGAACATGAGCAAACTCAGAACCCACCTGTGTGCAACACCTCTGAGCCCACCCCTCCCCCACATCCACTGGAGGACAGTGAGCAGCAGCCCGTGAGGTGGACAGCCTCTGGTCAGATGCAAACACACCTCAACTCAAGAGTCAAGCTGAGACAATCCCAAGATTCACAATTCAATCTCAACTTCACACCACTAGCAAACAGCCTGTATTTTTCCACAAATATTTGAATAAGAAAAATCTGAAAATATATTCGCCATCAATGAAAATCAAACTCTAGTCCCGGAGAAGTCTGTAAGATAAAATAACCAGCAAAAGAAAAACCAGGCTAGAGGCATGGCTCAAGTGGCAGAGTACCAACCGAGCAGGCAAGCCCAGCAAGCACACACCAGCTCCCAGAAGTCTTCAAATGCCTTTTGTCCTATTAAACCTAAACTTCAGTTACACAAGCCACCGAAGCAAGGCACTGGCAGGAGAAGCCAGCAGACCTCCCGCCTTACTGCCTCCCTGGGTGTGGGGAGACCTCCCCACAGCACACCCCTGTGCGACTGGACACTCAAGCTACACATCTGCCCCCGACAGGAACAATGGCAAGAAGTAAATTAAAAGCTTCTTGTACACAAGCTCAGGCCAGGCCAGCCTCTGAGAGCCGGCTGGCCACCAGGGAAACGGGCAGTTACCAGGTAAGCCTGCAGCCTGGGGACCACAGGCCTCTCCAGAGCTCACCCACCAAGGAGAGACTTGCACAAAGAAAACAACAAAGGGTCTAATATCTACTATCACCCTGTTCTTAACTAAAAGACTTTGGCCAATGTCATTCCAGACAGACAGTCGTGAAGCCCAGACACTTGATGCTACTGGGAGCAGCCCCGCTCCTTCTTCCCCACCCCCCACTGGAGGCGGTCTCCCTCTGGACCCGGTCTGGCCTCTCTGACACCCTAGTTTTCAGGCAGATGGGAGGATGCGTGCCCACCACTACAGACACTGACAGCGCTCAGCATCCACCTGCAGGCCCCTTGCAGTCAGGAAGGACGCGCGCAGCCTACAGGTGGGAAAACTGCTGAACTGACCCTGGGAAGGCATCAAGAACCGGTCTTATCTAGATGCTGTCCCCAGGGGCAGCCCTCATCACATCCTGAGAGCCTGCTGAGCCGCAATGCCGGTGTGTCAGCCTGTCCCTGCTTGTAGAAAGCTGAGCCCCGGACATGGCGGTCATACTGTACTGTTCCTGGCCACTGTGGAAGTGCAAAACCCAGTACGAGCCAGACAGAGAACAAGGACAGCAGTTACAGTGGCTCCCAAGGACCCTGTCTGTGCTTCAAGGAAGGCCAGGAATGCCCAGCACCGTAAGGAAACACATCATGGTTCCCAAAGCACTTCCTAGTAACCTGCCGTCGCTACCAGCCAGCCTCCTGCCTACACAGCATGTTAGACATCAGCTCATTTGCCTACACCTGTGGGCTCAGCTAGACACAGCTGCTGCCCATTCCCTGGCACAGGCTCTAAAAGATGAGCCACAGCCCCACCCCACCCCCACCAGTGGGAAGCCTAAGCTAGCACAGCAGAAACACCCACACGTGCACTCCCTCCAGAAGCCCGTGCCACCTCACCCGTCCACCCCAGCTACAGCCCTCCAGGGCTTGGGGCTGGTGACTTCTTCACTGGAGTGTCAGTCACCTGGAAGAGCAGGAGGCGGGACAGGAAGCCCATATCTTGTGCCTGGTACCAGTCCCGAGGGACAAGTGCACAAATAAAGGGTCCCAGCTCTACAGAGGAAGCGCCAGCAGAGGCTGAGCATAACCATGAACTACTTGTGCACCAAGAGAAAGACCACACCTGGACAGAAAACACACACCTCTCACTGACCCCAAATTAACTAGTCATTAAATTTAAGTGGTCAGAAGTCACCACAAAGGCAGAAGAAGGCAGAGTGGTGCAGCAGGAAAGTCTTGAGGAAGGGAAGCGCAGGACCGGAAGGGGCACAGTTGCTAACAAACCTGAGCTGAGGGAAAAAAGGACAGAAGCTACCTGAGGAGACTTCAGGCCAGCGTTACTATGAGGGGTGGGGGATTCTCATTTGTAGACTGCAGGAGTTCTTCACCAAGCAGTCAAAAACAATCCAGTAAAACAAAAGCTTGTAAGTTCCTACACATGTACGCAGCTCAGGTGATACAGCTAAGTACAATCAATCCCGTATTGTCATCAGTTGTGTTGAAACTGTATGATCTGCTGAGTGTTTCCCAACCTTAATTCTGGGAAAACATACTTCCTAAAAAGCAAATCGTGCCCAAAAAAGCAAGACAAAAGGTAATGTATTTAACTGAAGGGATAAAGTGAACACATTACATTGTTGAAAGGCAAAACATCTTTCAGTAGATGCTGAGCAGCACCGTGGGTAAAAAAAGAACACACACCCACAGTGCACCACCAAACTCTCCATCTGTACATACTGTCTTTCTACAGCAGTGAGAACTGTATCCCAGCAGACACCCAAAGTCGATGACAGGTCTCACCACAGGCCAGCACTCCCGGCCTGAGGGCCGAGCCACCGGCAGGCAACTCACAAGGAGACCCCAGGGAGGGACAGCAGGGCTCAGACATAAACATACTCTTGACAAGCAAACCACCAAGGCTACGTCTTTCCTGTTCCTATCACCGCACCAGCATGGCTAGGGAGGCAAAGCTCCCTAGCATTTCCCCCTCCCTTTTTTTTTTCTTTATTTGTGCCAGTAGCAGGGCTTAAACACTAGGCATTGTGCTCTCAATCGGATTTTTACTCACAGATGGCAATCTACCACTTGAGACGCATCTCTTCTTCTGCCTTTTTGTTGATTAATTGGAGATAAGGCTCTTGGACTTTTCTGCTTGGGATGGCTTTCAACCTCAGTTCTCAGATCTCAGCCTCCTGAGTAGCTAGCACAGGCATGAGCCACTGGTGCCCGGCTCCCCGCAGCCCCCACTCTCCTAGGGAGCAGAGAGCAGTTCATAGGACATAGCCGCTATGAAAAGTAACAATGCCATGGCAGCAAACACTGCGTCTCAGAAAACACAAATACAGCTCTCAAAACAGTATTTTCTATCCACTAAACACCAAAGGTCCTATTTTCATCTATGTGCATAATCTCATCACGTCACACAAAGGAGAAATTTGTTCTACTCCAACTCACTACAGAAACCCTCCAAGATTTAGCAAGGCCAAGTCCATTCTAAAGCAACAAGGAGCACTCAAGAAACAAGTGGCACAGCCTCCAAACAAAGCACCACAGACAGAATCGAGCTGGGCTGGCCTCGAGAAGCTGGCGTCACAAAGACGCGATCAGCCGCCCACAGCCTCCTGGGACCAGAGGCCTCGGAAGGCCTGGGTGCGGGAGCGCAGACCCTGAGAAGAGGCAGACACCAAACTCCTGACTCGGGCAGAGTAAACAAAACTTCTCTCCAACTGGACATGCTTTGCAATCACCAGCTCAGAGCGTGGGAACTGGTGGAGCTGGGGGCCTGGTGGCAAGGACCCACCACAGCACTGGTACTGGCCGGGGCAGGCTCGGGGCCCCCGTTCACATCGATGCTCCGGTCCCGCTTGGTCTCTTCCAGGTCAGTCACGGTGCTTGGGCCCTTCTTCTTCTTGAGCTTGGCCAGGATGGAGGACTCACGCTCCGGGAAGGGAGGCATTTCCTCCAGGACAGTTGCCTATTGCAAAGAACAAAGGGTCAGAGCTGGGCCAAGCCCCAGTGCCCATCACCGACCTAGAGGCTGCAGTGCCAACAAGCCCAGCCAGGCGGTCCACACCAGAATATCAGTGCTGGCCACAGTGCTCAGCCGCAGGTACTCCACGGCCCGCTGCTGCAGCTCCACATCTGCATTCTTCAGCTGGCTGTCACTGCGCAGCACATCCTGGATGGTGGCCTTCACTTCCGGAAAAAGGTTCACGAACTTGATGTAGGTAGACAGCAGGAGTGCCCGGGTAGGGACGCTGCACAGGTGGAACTTGGAGTGAAGCAGGTTGAACTGGATCAGAGGACTTGGGGGGGACAGAGAGCACAGGTGAGGACCGGTTACCTCACCCTCCTGCACCCTGCAGCCTAGCATCTGCGGTGGTGAGCAGCAAGACTGTGGGCTAAAGCAGAAGCTCCCCATGGGCACACGTCCATCTGTCTGACGCCAGATGCCAGCTAGGGGTGGGAACAGGACAGCCAGTGCAGAGTGCCCTGCGCTGCTTCCTGGTCTCTCTTACCTAGAGCGTGGGTCCCCAGCTATCAAGTTTCCAAACTCGCCCAGGATGTAGCCGCCTACTTTGACCAGATTCTCATGGCATGCTGGAGCCTGCAGAGCCTGGAAAACCATGGACACAATGAGCCAGGGCCCGGAGAAGCACTGCAGCAAAGGATCTAGAGACGGGCTCGGCGTAATGATGAGCCAAAGCCAGGCCTGCACGGCCTGCGTGGGGGCTTCCCCGGAGTTCAAGACTACTAAGTGCCCCTCGTGCCCAAGCCTCTCCGCAGAGCAGCCCGAGCAAGGTCAGCAGCGGCTCCCCAAAGGCTCCCTGGGAACAGCCAGACCCCTTCCCATCCCTCACACACAGGCAGATTCAAGGGCAGCCCCAGGCAGCGATTTCAGGAAGCTCTTCAGGAGCCGGTGTCTCACCCAGGATGCATTTTGGAAATTAGGGTGAGAGGAAAGTGGTGGTGGGTGTGGGGCACTAGCAGTGGAAGGGAAGGATTCCAAAGAATAGCTGAGGGGAGCAGCTGAGACTCCCACGTTCACCTGAGCTTGGCACAGGGCCGGAGAGGACACCCACCCTCCTGCGCTGGAGACCCAGGCTGTACCTCAAACACTGTCTTGGCGGCATAGCCCTGCACGTCGTCACGGTTGATGACGATCTGAATCACGCGATACCACACCTCTTCGCTCACGTAGTCTCCAGCGATGCGAATCAGGTTCAGGATGGTGTCCACATACCAGGTGTAGTCCACTGCATATTTCTCAGCTAAGATGGCGACTTTCAGCACCTATAGGGTGGACAGGCTGGTCAGGCAGGTGCCACACAAGCTCTCAGCAACACCAAGGACCAGCCAGCATCAAAGCCCGTGAGAGGCTTCAAAAGGACCTAAAACTTGAGGTGTGTGAGAAGATTCACCAGATCTCAGAGGAACAAAGGAAGCCAGTGGACCTCCAAGGACAGATGCAATGACCAAGCTGGGGGTTCGAAAGGCTGCACAGCTACATCCAAGCCACCGCTCTGCTCCTCACCATCACCCCACTGAGGTCCGTCCTGCACCTTGTCCCCCGGCCACAACCAAGCTGCTGCCAACCCACATCCAGAGCTCCTTTCTCCTAGCAGGTCTTCGTCATCATCCACCCTCCTCAGCCCCACAGGTCCCCCTTTTCTTCATGGGAAACCCACCTGATCACCACCCTATCCTGCCCCCAAGGAGCCACCAGGCTTATGCCCACAGAGACAACTACTGCCTAGGCAGCTCTGCCTCACTTCCAAACTGGGCTCAATTCCAAGTCTCCTTCTGGCACTGCCCCCCAAGAGTGTCTGCTGGCACCACCACACGCTCCTCAAGTGGCTGACCTGTCACACACAACTCTGCCATTCTCCCTGCTATCCTCTCCCAGGAACTCCAGGCAAAATGGGCTTCCAGAGCCCCAGCCTAGAGCCTGGACTGGATGTCTACTTGCTCTACCACCTCCCGCCCTTACACGGACCCCATGACACCCTTAGAACATCTTCAAAACACACGGCCTAGGCTGGGAAAGCAGATCAGTGATGAAGCATTTGCCTAGCATGCCTAAGGTCCTTGTTCCATCCCTACCTCCTAGTATCTTGGTTCCATCTCTAGAAAAAGCTAGAACAGCTGGACTTGCAGCCCCATGCTGACCATGCAGCCATGTGCTCAGCCACAATCCCAGCTACTCTCAGACCCGGGACGGAAGCTCCCACCTTCTTCAGGAAGTCTGTGAGGCCCCAGAACATGGGGTCAGCCTCCGCAGGTGCCACCCCGTGCACATGCAGACCCGTGTTCGGCCCTCCATCTGCCTCCCAGGGCAGAGGCTCCCTGCAGGCCCCAAAGCAGCGCTTGTGCAGAGACAGAGGGGCACGTGACTAGGGCTAGCAGGACCGTCACCCACCACACAAAAAGACACTGGGTGGACTCCAGCCCCCACACACAGACGTGCTGACCGTGCTCCACTGTGTGCTGGGCACACCCAGAGCAGCATGGCTGCTGGCCCCAGGCCAGCCCCACCCAACTTGGGCCACACTGCCCAGGCTGAATCGGAAGTAGACCTTGGAGGAAGCTGGTGAGTCACTTAGTGACACCCAGATATGGCCCACCAGCCCTCCTCTACACAGAACACTCCCTCCCCACATCATCTACTGCAGCTGGGTCTGGAACCTCCCCAAGTCCTAAGCAATGGAGACCTGCTCTCCAGGGCAGAAGATGCCAAGGTCACTTGGCATGTCCTTGAGAGGGCTGTAGGGCCACGGGCTGCCATCTCTTCCTCTGCCTATCTATGATGTGAAATTTAACCCACCACACACTCCCCACACAACACAGAGAAAGGATGAGCACATGCAGTCACTGTATTCAGTGTACCTTATGTAAAAAACTGAACTATGTATCTTGATAGTAGAGAGGGGAAGGGAAAAATGGATGTGAACAATGGAAGATGCATTGTACTCATAACCTGACTTATGAAACTGTAACCTCTCTATACAACTGCTTAATAAAAAAATAGCGTAACAATTCTTGTCTACTACATCCTCATTCAGACCCCGAGCAGCCAGATACTGAGAGGAGAAGAAGGGAAAGCCTGCTCGTGGGTTTCACATGTTTCAGCACTGAGAGGGAAGTTGATGCAGAAACAAACCTCTCATCAGTCCACTATAGACACCGGCAGGGCCTCCCAGACAGAACTGCTGAACACTGGTGAGACAGTCCCGCTGGGCTTTCATCCACAGCAGGCAAGGATTGGGGCTGAGAACTCACAATCTCCTCTCGGATGGAGTAGTCAGCCGTCTCCAGGTAGCTCAGCATCTCCGCCACAATCTGCTGGGCGTTGCTGCGGTCACACATGGCATAGAGCAGGTCCACGGCCCGCTGCCGCACACTCACGTCTCGCTCCGTCTGGGAAGCAAAGAAGACCGTTAACCCCACATACAAGTACAGGCTGGAGGCACTCGCTGTCTACAACAGTATGTGGCCCCCGTGGCCCCGCTTTCCCCAGCCCTGTCGGCGGCCCCTCCTCTGCCCCACACCATGCAGGGAGGGCCTCACTCACCATCTGTACCAGGGCCCAACACTGCAGGTCAGAAGCCCTCTCCCTTGACTCACACCCCCTCTGCTCTCTGTACTTGGAACAAATGGTCTGGACAAGCTAGATTCACTGCCACTGTCCCACTGGCCAGCTTCTCTGAGGAATGTGCTCAGGGCCAAGTGGGTGGGTCACTGAAGTCTCTCTATTGTGTGGTCATAGTCTAGCACCTTCCAAATTATGTCACCAAGGAACTCCATACAAGGCGGGTCTTTGGACCCCACCCCAGTGGCATCAGAAAAAGACCCTAGAAAAGCTTCACGGCACAGCAACATCTGAGAATACAGTAAAGGTCCAGGCACCTACAGTGGTAGAAAATGGGGGAGCCCAGCACAGGATAGAGGGCCTCCAGCAAGGGCCGGAGCAGAGTGAGACAAGGATTGTCTCTGACACAGGGAAGAACTAGAAGACACACAATCAGGACCAGGAAGAACTCGGCCTCAAATTCACAGCAAACACTGAATGTAAGTTCCATGCCACACTCGGCATCCCCAGACACTGCCCAAGACTAGGCCGAGTCAAGGGCTCTAGGTTCCCTCCTTACACACAAGCAAAGCAAGAATGGGCAGACAGTGTGTGACACTAGCAAGATCACCTTGAGTGAGATTCACAGGTAAGCCCCGGAACACATACCTTGACTAGGCTCTTTCAACTCTGTAATTTTTTTTTCTTTTTTTGCCAGTCTTGGGGCTTGAACTCAAGGCCTGGGCACATCCCTGAGCTTCTTTTTGCTCAAGGCCACAACCTGAGCCACAGTGCCACTTAGGGCTAAAGATTCTTACAGACTTTCCTGCCCCATCTGGCTTCAAACCTCAGATCTCAGCCTCCTGAGTAGCTAGGACTACAAGTGTGAGCCAACTTCACCCACCACAATTCTGGAATTTTGATCTTTTAAAAAATATGAGGGGCTGGGAAGGTGGCTCAGTGGTAAAGCACTTGCCTTGCATGCATGAGGCCCTGGGTTCAATTCCTCAATACCACATAAGCAAAAAGAAAAAAGCCAGAAGTGGCGCTGTGGCTCAATGGTAGAGCGCTAGCCTTGAGCTGAAGAGCTGAGGGACAGCACCCAGGCCCAGAGTTCAGGCCTCACGATCGGACCCAAAAATAAAAAATAAATAAAAATAAAATTAAAAATCTGAGAAATACCAGGTGCCAGTGGCTCACACCTGTAATCATAACTACTCAGGAGGCTGAGATCTGAGGATCACGGTTCAAAGCCAGCCGGTTCAAAGCCAGACCGGGCAGGAAAGCCTTTAAGACTCTTATCTCCAATAAACCAGCAGAAAACCAGAAGTGGCGCTATGGCTTCAGTGGTAGAGTGCTTGCCCTGGGCTGAAGAACTGCGGGACAGCACCCAGGCCCAGTTCAAGACCCACGACTGACCAAAAAAAAAAAAAAAAAATCTGAGAAGCAGCCAGGTGCTGCTGGCTGGCACCTGTAATCCTATCTACTCTGGAGGCCGAGATCTGAGGACCCTGGTTGGAAGCCAGATGGGACAGCAAACTCATGAGACCCTTATCTCCAATTAACCACTCAAAAGCCAGAAGTGGTGCTGTGGCTCAAAGTGGTAAAGTACTGCTCTTGAGCAAAGGATCTCAGAGACAGCACCCAAGCCCTGAGTTCAAGCCCCAGGACTAACAAAAGAAGAAAAAAAATTGAGAAGCTAGGCACAATAGCTCTACCTGTAATCCTAGATATTTAGACAGCAGAGGCTGAAGTTGCGGTGCAAGGCTAGCCGATGTAAAGAATACTAGAGAGGCTGTCTTAACCAGTGTCTTGGCACAGTACGTATGCCTGTCATCTTAAGCTATGGGGAAAGCACAAATAGGATGTTTGCAGTCCCAATCAGCCCAGGTATAAAGTGAGACCTGTTTAACCCCTCTGTACATCAGCTTTACAATAAAAATAAATTAAAAAAAAAGAAAAGTAGGGCTGAGAAGGTGGCTCAGTGGTAGAGCGCTTGCCTTGCATGCATGAGACCCTGGGTTCGATTCCTCAGCACCACATAAGAAAAAAGAAAGCCGGAAGTGGCGCTGTGGCTTAAGTGGTAGAGCGCCAGCCTTGAGCTGAAGAGCTGAGGGACAGTGCCCAGACCCAGAGTTCAGGTCCCACGACCGGACCCAAAAAAGAAAAAGTAACCAATGCAGAAGAGGTGGTGGAGTCCCTCATGTGGCAGAGTGACTGCCTAGCAAGCACTAGATACTGGAAAAATAAGCCTAGGGGCGTGGTTCAAGAGGTAGAACACCTGCCTAGAAAGCATGAAGCCCTGAGTTCAAACCCATTACTACCAAAAAAAAAAAAAAATTTTTTTTGGATCGGTCGTGGGGCTTGAACTCTGGGCCTGGGCTCTGTCAGCTCTTCAGCTCAAAGCTAACGCTCTACCACTTGAGCCACAGTGCCCCTTCCAAAATAAAAAATTCTTGACAGTCAATTTTGCTTTACAAAGCATGAGGTTTCCCGGAAGTAATAACAAATATTTCATCTTTCTACCCAAAGCAGAACTTTACTGAAGAATGCCACATGAGGCTGTCACATAATGACATGCTCGGCCCCAAGGCCAGGACTGACTGGGGGGGGCAGGGTTGGCTACTGGGGTCTCACTGCAAGAACCAAGCAACACGGCCTCACTCCCAAAGGTAAGTCCACCCTATACTACAGCAGGGGACCAGAGCCGGGCCATCTGCTGAGGGACAGGAAGACCACGGAGCTGGGCCATCTGCCGAGAGACGGGAGGCACCACGCTAATCTAGTGCCTGCACACCTTGAGGGCGTTGATGACAGTCTCGATGTGGGTCTTGACAGCCTCATGGGAGAACTCAGAGCTAGCCAGCGTGCACATGCTCTCCAGGGCCAGGTAGCGCAGGTTGGTCTCCCGGTGCTGAAGAAACTGGCCCAGCTGGTTGCAGGCGCGGACAAGCAGGTTTGGCTCACTACAAGATGAGGGGGACATGGTAAAAAGGGTCACGGTGAGGAGCCACGTGCTGAGGAGGGGGCACCTTGCACCCCTCTGCTGGAGAGGGACACAGCCATGTCCACAGCCCCAGGGGACCGCAAGCCATTTAGAGTGTAGCTCCATTCTAAGCAAAGCCAACAGTTCACCCGAGCCCTGGCTCCCTCTGTGTAGGCAGACAAGAGAAATCACCCAGAAACAAGGAGGCTGGAGGAGGTGCTCTGGATGAGGGTGAGCCAGCAGAGCCGGGGGGGGGGGGGGGGGATGTGGGGGGAACGCTCTGAGGGCAAAGAGGGCTGGAGAAGGGAGAGGAAGAGACCAAGAGCTAGAAAGGAGCAACACCTGAACAGATGCCAGTGGCCCCTGTGGCTCACCTGTCATGGTGGATGATGAGGCTGATGGCCTCAAACAGCACAGCGTTCTTTGCATTCGAGTGCTGGACTTTTTTGGACTTGGGTGGTTCCTGGGCCTTGTTCAGGATGGTTTCCAAGCACTCAGTCAGGCGGCCTCGCACTGCAGGATCTTCTGGGCAAGACAGGATTGTTAGCTGGGCTCCTGGCCCTAAATCTACCCAGCCCTGGCCCCTAGGAAAGAGCCCCCCCCCCCCACCACTAGCTGTACATGTCGTGGGCACTGCAGATACAATCGTGCTCAGCGCCGTACGTGGCTGGGAACACTTGAAGAACCAAGTGAGACAAAAATGAGCAAGCCTCACTGTTCTATGAGTGGAATAAACATCAGAATTAAAAGGTCCAGCAGCTATGGAAGCGACACCTCATTTTAATGCAACTGGCAGAGCACTTCTGCTGAGATTAAGAGATTAGTCATGAGAAAACAAAATCCAACAGATGTGAGCAAGGCATGATTACAAAGCTCAAGGGGAAAGCTTGATAGAGCTCTCCTGCTCTGATGAACAAAAGAAAATACTGTAAACCCCAGGACACATAGAAGAAACCCTCTATACAACACAGTAATCACAAAACTATTTTTAAAAATGAAGAGAAAGAAAAAATATAATTCAATTAAAAGCCACAAAACAAATAAAAGACAAAAGGGCAGTGGCTCATCCCTGTAATCCCAGTCGGGAAACTGAGATCAAATATATATAAATTACTTGATATAGCCGGGCGCTTGTGGCTCACACCTGTAATCCTAGCTACTCAGGAGGCTGAGATCTGAGGATCACAGTTCAAAGCCAGTCCAGGCAGGAAAGTCCGTGAGACTCTTATCTCCAATAAACCACTAGAAAACCAGAAGTGGTGCTGTGGCTCAAGAGGTAGAGCGCTCTCCTTGAGCTCAAGAGGTGAGGGACAGCACCCAGACCCAGAGTTCAAGCCCCACGACTGACCAGTATTTTTAAATCAGCAGTACATTCAGCCTATTACAAAACAGGCCTTTGGCAACAGCGCACCGAGGAGCCCCTGAAAATGGCACTGTGGAAACTGGGATCTGAGTGTCCGGGCATGCGGGAAAGGGCAGAGCTCCCGCCAACCAGTTAGTCAGAAAACGCTGAGGCAGAACTAAAAGCCTCAGACAGGGATGTCGAGGCCAACATTCACTGAGAGGCTAAGGGGAAGGAGGGGCCGCATCTGTGTCCCCAGCCTCAGTGAAGGGCCAGCCTGTCCAAGAACTGCTGGGGCCAGACAGGGGCAAATACCTTTGCCCTTGAAGTGAGTACAACCCCATAGGAACAAGGTTCACTCAGTGTAAACAGGGAATTCAGCACAAGGTACAATGCCTACGTGCATCTGATCATATAAAATAATGTTTATCAAAATGAACTCCAGAAAAGGGAAATGCTGCTGCTTTTGTGTTTTCTTTGTGCCTTGTTTTATTTATCTGTCTTTGGGAGGGTAAGTGGAGGCACAGAACGGAGGGACAAAGGGTGAACAAACAATAATACTAGACACAATGTTGAAAATAACCTACATGACTTGTGGGTGGGGATGGAAGGGAAAAACAGAACAAGGGAAAGGGGTGACACTGTCCAAAAAGAAATGTACTCATTATCTCATTTATGTAACTCTAGCCCCTCTGTGTACATCACTTACAATAATAATTTTAATTTTTTCAAAGGTATTCAGCAGAGAAAGTTACCTGACATTAGCAACAAAAGTCTCCCACACAAATATAAATAGGTTATAATATAAGATTGAGTCAGGCAAAAGGGCTCAGGGGACAAAGACAGAAGGAGACAGAAGGAAACGGAAGGTAGGAGGCCACGTGAGCAAAAGCAAGTAAGACCCTATCTTAAGGTCAGGAAGTAGCTGTGGCTCATGTGGTAGAGTGCTAGCCTTGAGCAAAATCACTCAAGGATAGCACCCAGGCCCCCAGTTCAAGCCTTACCACGGGGGCCGGGGGTGGGGGGAATAGGGGGTACAACACAAGGTAGGCAAGATAATTCCTAATTAAATAATTGAAAGCAAAAAAGGCGAGGGGATAGACTCAAGCCATAGAGCACTTGCCTAGAAAGTAGGAGGCTCTGAATTTAAAAACCAAACATGCCAGGCACCAGTGGCTCACGCCTGTAATCCTAGCTACTCAGGAGGCTGAGATCTGAGGATCACAGTTCAAAGCCCGCCTGGGCAGAAAAGTCCATGAGACTCCGATCTCCAATAAACCACTAGAAAACCAGAAGTGGCGCTGTGGTTCAAAAGGTAGAGCGCTCGCCTTGAGCTGAAGAGTGCAGGGACAGCACCCAGACCCAGAGTTCAAGCCCCAGGACCGACAAAAAATAAAAATGATAAAAATAAATATAAAAAATCCAAACACTATACCCAAAAATTGAGAGGAAGGAGTTTGAACAGAATAATCAGCCAGGCACCAGTGGCTCACACCTGTCATACCAGCTACTCAGGAGGCTGAGATCTGAGGACTGGGTTCAAAGCCAGCCCAGGCAGAAAGGTCCAAGAGATTCTTATCTCCAATTAATCACCAGAAAATCAGAAGTGGCAACTGTGGCTTAAGCAGTAGAGGGCTAGCCTTGAGCTGAAGAGCTCAGGGACAGCACCCAGGCCCAGAGTTCAAGCCCATGACTGACAAAAAAAAAAAAAGCAAAAAAAGGGTATTAAAGTTTGAACTTAGGGTCTTGAGTTTGCTAGGGAGGTATCCCACCATTTAAGCTGTCTCTACTTTTTTATTCCCTCCCTCCCTCCCTCCTTTTTGTTGGTAACAGGTCTTGAACTCAGGGTCTCACACTTTCAGCTGGCTTGTTTGCTCAAAGCTGGCACTCTATACCTTGTTTGGGTGGTTAATTGGAGATAAGAATCTCACAGACTTTCCTGCCCCCGCTGACTTTGAACCATGATCCTCAGATCTCAGCTTCCTGAGTAGCTAGGATTGCCGGCACAAGCCACAATGCCCAGCTTTGCTCTCTTTTTTTTTTTTTTGGGTCCGGTCGTGGGGCCTGAACTCTGGGCCTGGGCACTGTCCCTCAGCTCTTCAGCTCAAGGCTAGCGCCCTACCCTTTGAGCCACAGCGCCACTTCCAGCTTTTTTCTTTTTGCTTATGTGGTGCTGAGGAATCGAACCCAGGGCCTCAGGCATGCAAGGCAAGCGCTCTACCACTGAGCCACCTTCCCAGCCCCTCTCATTATTAATAGTCTCATGTTTTTGCCTGATATAACCTGAACCTTGATCCTCCTATTTACACTTTCTATATAGCTAGAATGACCGGCATGTTCAACCATGCCCAGCTTTTTTATTTGACGAAACCAGATCTCATGGATTTTTTGGCCAGGCTAGCCTTGAACTTCGATCTTCCTAATGTCCACTTCCCAAGTAGCTAGGATTTCAGAGGTAAGCCACTGTGCTCAGCTAACAAAAATTTTAATTCACATTCTTCAAGTGATTCTATATCTAGATTCTTCCCTTAGAAGTCAAATGTATCTTGGATGAAACAGAAACATAAAAATATCAAACTATTAAAACTTTAAAACTCGAATTTTCTAATTTCAAAGTTTTAGTTAAAAAGGCTATCTTCAGCCGGGCGCTGGTGGCTCACGCCTGTAATCCTAGCTACTCAGGAGGCTGAGATCTGAGGATTGCAGTTCAAAGCCAGCCCGGGCAGGAGAGACCGTGAGACTCCTATCTCCAATAAACCACCAGAAAACCAGAAGTGGCGCTGTAGCTCAAGTGGTAGAGCGCTCGCCTTGAGCTGAAGAGCTGAGGGACAGTGCCCAGGCCCAGAGTTCAAGCCCCACGACCGATCAAAAAAAAAAGGCTATCTTCAGAGTTCTAACTTCATGATTTCATGTAACTTTAGTTTCTTATTTCAAATACAGCTACACTAGAGGTAAGTACTTCATCATTTTGGGGCATTTGGGGGAGACACAAGTCTATCCTTTGCATCCTCAGCTAAATTACTTGTACTGTAGTAAGTTTCTCATATAATCATTAAAATACTACATCTGCTAAATTATTTTTTTTTTAACTCTCATCTAGCAGTAGTGACTCAGATACTCAAGGGGCTGAGATCGGGAGACAAGCTCTCAAGACCCTTCTCAACCAATAAAAAGACGGGTGTGGTAGTGCATGCCATCCTCCCAGCCACACAAGGGGCTATGGTCCAGACCAGCCAGGCAAAAAGCCAGACCCTACTTTAAAACTAGAAACAAAAAAGGGGTTAGGGTTGTGACTCAAACAGCAGAACATCTGCCTAGCAAACTCAAGACCCCGAATTCAAACCCTAGTAGAACCAAAAAAAATTTAACTATACAGATCTATACTGTATAAAAGTACAGAAGAAGCTGGGCACCGGTGGCTCACGCCTGTCATCCTGGCTACTCAGGAGGCTGAGATCTGAGGATCATTGTTCAAAGCCAGCCCAGGCAGGAAAGTCTGTGAGACCCCTATCTCCAATTAACTACCAGAAAACCAGAAGTGGCACTGTGGCTCAAGTGGTAGAGTGCTTGCCTTGAGCTGAAGAGCTAAGGGACAGCACAGCACCTAGGCCTAGAGTTCAAGTCCCATGACTGACATACATACATACATAAATAGATGTACAGAGAAGCCAGACACTGTTGGCTATAATCCTAGCTAGTCAGGAGGCTAAGATCTGAAGATCACAGTTCAAAGACTGCCCAGGCAAGAAAGTCCATGAGACACTTATCTCCAATTAACTGTCAAAAAAACAAAAGCCAAAAGTTGAGCTGTGGTTCAAAGTGGTAGAATAACAGTCTTGAGCAAAAACATTCAGTGTCCAGGCCCTAAGTTCAAGCCCCAGGACCAGCACTAAAAAAATAATACAAAGAAAGAAACTCATGACTTAGCAGGACTGTGTTGTGATAACAGCTTCATGAAAACAGGATGTAGGGCAGTATCAATCCAGGGACAAGACATTGTATACTAACGAACTGGAGACTCTGAGCTAAGCTCTTCCAGTGAGCGCTGGTGAGGGACCTCCTGGGAGGGGCCTGGGCACATCTCTAGGAAGAGGGTTTACAGGAACCAGCACCTGGGGAGGGGGGTGGAATTCATGGGAACACCTGGATGAAGGGGAACATTGTCTGGGGGAGGGGAAATGAGAACACCCAGGGGATAGGGAACATTACCTGGGGGTGGGTAACACTGCAACAACCTCAGAAGTTTGACTGACAGCCAGGGAGCAGGGACAAAGTAGTAAGTATAATCCTGAAGATCTGTTGACGCAGATGTCACAATCTGTAAGACAATCCACAGGGTGAGACGACCACTTCCTGCTGGCTCCTTGGGCCATGCCTTCCTGAACACCAGCTGGTGGCTAGAATCAGCTGTATGAGCACTGTTTCCTATCTCCCAGAGAGAGACACTATGGCCACCCTCCTGCGGCCTAACAGTGGACAGTGCTCAGCTGCTGGGCGTCACCACGAACGCCACTCTTCAGCACCCTGCCACAGATGCTCCAGACAACAGCAAACACTCCACCTTTCCTTTGTGGGCTAGGAAACTAGTCAGACACCAGAGAGGGCCTTCTAGTCCTTCAGAGGGGGAGGAAATGCCCAGGACGCCAGCATGCTGGTTATTCCACAACCTACAGCCCCCAGGACGAGACCCAGCGTCCTGGCTCCTGGCTCCACTCAGTGCAGCAGACCCTGAGCCAATATTCTGACAAGTAGCTCATTCTACAAGCACACAGCACACTTCCTGCTCCAAGGGCTCACAGCGCTTTCCCACCCTCACTACAAAGTGCACGTGTGTAACATTGTTTGGCATCCATAAGCCCAGCCCTAGGCCGCAAAACATAGCCTGAACTCAGGTGTGGTCACACCTGTAGGTGGCAGACCTCAACACTGTCTGCCAAAGAAAGGACTTAACAGGACAAATATAGCAAGTAGTCAAACAGCATACAGCCAGACGAAGCAGAAAAACAAGTACACGTTTCAGTGTAACACAATGACAGAGCTAATATAGGCTGTCTTAAAAACATATTATGAAGCTGAAGCCATGGCTTATTTTCCCTGTCTCTACATTAGGAAGGAAGGAAGGGAAAGAAGAAGAAAGGGAGGGAGAGAGGGAGGGAGGGAGAGGGAAGGAAAACATCAGAGAAGACCAATAAAATGAAAAACTAATTCTTCGCAAAGAAATTACATGGTTGAAGGCGGCTCAGTGGTAGAGTGCTTGCCTCACATGCATGAGGCCCTGGGTTCGATTCCTCAGCACCACATAATCAGAAAAGGCCAGAAGTGGCACTATGGCTCAAGTGGTAGAGTGCTAGCCTCAAGCTAAAGAGCTCAGAGATAGTGCCCAGGCCTAGAATTCAAATCCCACAACCAAAAAAAGAAAAAAAAAAAGTACCATGGTTTTGGGACTGGTAATGTGGCTTAGTGGTAGAGTGTTTGCCTAACATGCATGTGGCCCTGCGCCCGATTCCTTCATAGCACATAAACAAAAAACGCCAGCATATGCTGTGGCTCAAGTAGTGGAGTGCTAGCCTTGAGCAAAAGAAGCTCAGAGACAGTGCCCAGGCCCTGAATTCAAGTCCCGGGCCTGTCAAGAAAAAAAAAAAAAGTTGGGACCACGGGCATGATTCAAGTGGCAGAGTACCAGCTGTGAGCAAAAAAGCCAGGGAGCATGTGACTCTAGTTAAAGCCCCCCCCCTACACACACACCAAAATGTATGGTTTTTTGTTTTTTTTTTTCAATTTCATGCTGGGTGCCAATGGGTTCTATCTATGGTCCTAGCTATTCAGGAGGCCAAGATAAGACGATCCTAGTTTGAAGCCAGCCTGGGCAGAAAGTTCCAAGAGAATCTATATCCAATTAACTAGCACAAAGCCAGAACTGGCAACATGGCTCAAGTGGTGGAGTGCTAGCTATGAGCAGAAAAGCCAAGCAGGAGTCTAGGCCCCAGTATCAGCACAAACCAATAAAAAGAAGAGATGCCACGTTCATAAAGGCATGTTCAAGCTGGGCACCAGTTCACACCTGTAAACCTAGCTACTCAAGAAGCTGAGATCCAAGGATCACATTTTGACACCAGCCTGGGCAGTAAAGGCCATAAGACTCATTGCCAATTAACCACCAAAAAAATCAGAAGTGGAGCTACGGCTCAAGTGGTAGAGTATCAGCCTTGAGCACAAAAGCTCAGAGACAGCGCCCAATCCCTGAGGTCAAACCCCAAAACTAGCACACAAAAACAAAAACAAAAAGGCAAGGTGACTCAAGACCCAGCAGGACCGTAAGGCGCCAAGGCTGCTCGGCAGGACATCACGGCTCTGGGCCGAGCTCCAGAAGCCAGGAGGCCAGTGTGGGTGGGAGCGGGACGCAGTGCCTCATCTGGGAGGGGGGTGCCCCACAGGTCCAGTGTGGTCCCAGGATAGAAGATGCCACTGGAAAGCAGACACCTCACAGGCAGACAGCGTGCCAGCTGTGGCCAGCCTGAGGGAGCCCTCAGAAGAGCAGGAACCTCAGAGGGAAGATGTGCACATCTGACCACATCAGCTGACGCTCTCACGGGCTCGGTGAGGACAGTGGAACAGCGAGGCTCAGCGGCACACACCTGTACCGATAAGCTCTCGGGTGGCTGACCCCCCACCTGCCCACAGAGTGGAAGAGGAGGCTACTCAACGGAAGTTTAAAGAAACCTAAGGACTGGCCATGACAGTTTCCACTCCTGAATTTACCAAGTGGTCACATAGCCTACATCCTAAAAAAGTAAACTAATAGACAAGCCCCACCCTGCCGGCCATCCCTGCCAGTACTCACTCTGCTCAACCTGGAGACAGCCAGGGAAACGGAGGTCTTAAACTCCTCAGGATTCTTCTGGGCCAGTGTGGTGATGAGGCTGGTGGCTGCGGTCACCACTCCCTTAAAAACAGACAGCAGGAGGCAGTGTGAGTCCAGCCAGGGTACTGGAGCTCCAAGGCTGCCCGACAGCACACACCGGCGGGGAAGGGGAAGCCCAGGCCGTACACAGCTACAGATGGAGCAGGAGGCCTGCCCCCGGCCAGCCTCTGCGACCACCTGCTGGGACCAGCTCTGACTTGTCATTCTGTCCACTATGGAGGTGCTCCTGTCACAGCCCTGCCTCCTCTCACCCGGAGCCCAGAAGCACTGAAGTGTGAACGCGTGCCCATGCCAGATGGGACAGCTTCCCTGCAGGGTCCTCCCAGACCACTGGGGTCAAGTAAGAGCAGCTCACACCCCAAGGAAGCACAGTGGTCTCGCAGGAGGCGTGAAGGTCGCCATCCCAGGACAGCCAACCATTGTTCCCAGTAACTGCTCTTGAACTACTTTGGTTAAGAAAAGAAATTCACTACATCAATTCTTAGGTGAGCATGTTGACACACACCTGTAATCCCCATACTCAGGAAACTAGGGCAGGAAGACTGCAAATTCAAGACCAGCTACAGCTACATGAGGAAAATACTGTCTCTAAATAAATAAGGCCAGGTGCCGGTGGCTCACGCCTGTCATCCAAGCTAGTCAGGAGGCTGAGATCTGAGGATCACGGTTCAAAGCCAGCCCGGGCAGAAAAGTCCGTGAGACTCTTATCTCCAATAAACCACTAGAAAACCAGAAGTGGCTCAAGAGCACTGGCCTTGAGCTGAAGAGCGCAGGGACAGCGTCCAAGCCCAGAGTTCAAGCCCCACAACCGACCAAAAAAAAAAAAAAAGAAAGAAAGAAAACCCACAAGCAAACTACCTGCCAGGCACCAGTGGCTCACACCTATAATCCTAGCTACCAGCCTGGCAGAATAGACAAACCTGACAAACTCACTGCCAATAACCAGCAAAAAGGCGGAGTTAGAGATGAGGTTCAAAGCGGAGAGTGCCGGTTGTAAGCAAAAAAGCATCGTTCTGGTCCCCAGTGCACATACATACTCTGTCTGTCTCCCTCTGTCCCTCTCTCTCTCTCCCCTGACTCCCCTCTCTCCATGTAGCTGTGGCCCCAGAATCACAGGATCCGTTGAGAGGGTCCTTCGGGCACCTTAGGCCAGGCCCTGCCACTCAGAAAAACACTGTGCTGTGGCCATGCACCTGTGAGGCCGATGCCACGCGCCAGAGCTGCAGGACCGCAGTCCTCCACAGAAAGTGCTGTGGGCAGTCCTCACAGCTCTGCCTCACTGCACACTTCGGTGAGGCCTGAGCCTGAGATCCCCTAGGACCCACTGAGGCCCTCTGAAGACCCAGCATGGTTTCAGAGGCTAGACTCGGCTCAAGTCCACCTGGCAACGGCCTCCAGCAGTGAGTCTCCCCCGCCCCCGGCACCCAGCCTGCAGAGGCTACTCTCCCCCACCTAGCACTCGGCTCCCATCTGAGGGGCCCTGGCTGGTGGGCCTCTCCCACACCGCAGGCGCAGGGCTGTGGTGGGGCAGGCCCGGAGGCCGCACTCCACAGCACAGCACCCACCACACCCCACGTGCTTCCCTCGGAGCTCACATGCAATCACATGTACTTCTAGCATCTGGAGATTTCTCCTGGGGAATAAGGCAGTAACAAACTAACACTCTCCCCTGCCAGTGGGCCAGACCCACTGACATGTCTGCTCAGGACAAGCCGTAAGGTGCACTGTCCACCGCCCGCTGCCACCAGCCTGGTCAGCCTCGCCCTGTGACAGCGGGCGCAGACCTCCTGTCCCTTCTATAAAGCAGGATGCCAGCCCTAACAGGAGGGGCGTTGGCAGGAAGCCCAGCGCCCCACATCAGCAGCTGGCTGAGGAACTGGGATCGTCCACACAGATGGTGTCCCTGGGGTGGTCTGGGCCGGTGCCCAGCCACACGGGGGGGGGGGGGGTCACACCAGCACCATCACAGCTGCCCCTCGCAGTCACACCGGGCCCTTCTTCAGCAACAGGACTCACCAAATGCTGGTCGTTGAGGAGGTGCACCACTCGCGAAGTCCAGTCCCCCATTGGCACAAGGTCAGGTGATGTCCGGTAGAGGCGCAGCAGGCACAAGGCCGCGCTCTGCTTCACGCTGTCCATGGTGTCCCTAGAAGACAGAGGTGAGCAGTCACTGCGGCTTGCATGCCGAGCCCCGCACGGTAGAGCCCCCCTCTCTGGGAGAGCATGCCAGGATCACCACAAAGGCTGGACATCAATGTGCTACTGTACAGGTCTCACTGAAGGACACAGTTCAGGTGGCCCAGCAGCCCTGCAGGCTCACCTCAAATAGCATCAACTTTCACACCTTTCCTGGCCGTGCAGGCTCTGCATGTTAGACCCATCGCGTTTTTGGCTATGGGTCTGACACACACATTCTCACACCAGGAACATGCCAGGGGCCTCCACCCACAAATCCAGGAGGCCCTTCTCACCTCCAGAATGCCATCGCGCTTCCACGCCCCCACACCTCACCCTGCCCTCCAGGCTGAGGAAGCAGGGCCGGAAGGGGTTGGGGGCAGACTCACACACAGACAGCATCTGCCCACTCCTGATATCCAAGATGGAGGAAGGGTTTTAACTTGTACCTAACAGCTGAACTGAGACAAGTGGGAGTGGGAATAGATTTTTGTTTTGTTTTGCTTTGTTATGGAAATACTAAGAACAAAACCCAAGACTTGGCCAGGCACTGGTGGCTCACGCCTATAATCCCAGCTACACAGGAGGCTGAGATCTGAGGATCGCAGTTCAAAGCCAGCCCAGGCAGGAAAGACCATGAGACTCTTATCTCCAATAAAACCACCAGAAAACCGGAAGTGGCGCTGTAGCGTAGCTCAAGTGGCACAGTGCTAGTCTTGAGCTGAAGAGCTGAGGGACAGCACCCAAGCCCAGAGCTCAAGCCCCACAACACATAATAAAAAAAAAAACAAAAAACAAGACTTTGCTAAGTGCTAGATTTCTAGCCCTTGGGGTATGAGTGGTTTGTTTGTTGCAGTGGAGGAGTCTTGGGGTCTGAACTTAGGGCCTTGTATTTGCTAGGTAGGTGTTCTACCAATTGGGCCATGCCTCCAACCCTTTTTGATCCTTATTATTTATTTTTCAAATGGGATTTCATGTTTTTGTTTTTGTTTTTTGTCAGTCCTGGGGCTTGAACTCTGGGCCTGGGCGCTGTCCCTCAGCTCTTCAGCTCAAGGCGAGTGCTCTACCACTTGAGCCACAGCACCACTTCCAGTTTTCTGGTGTTTACTGAAGAGTCTCACGGACTTTCCTGCCCAGGCTGGCTTTGAACCGCGATCCTCAGATCTCAGCCTCCTGAGCAGCTAGGATGATGACAGGCGTGAGCCACTGAAGCCCGCTCCCGTCTTTTTTTATTTATGAACAGCTGGGATACAGATGTGCTCCGCCACGCCCAGCTGTTGGTTGATATAGGATTACATGACATTTTTTGCCCAAGGCCCTGTTTAAGTCATGGCCTCATTATATATAGCCCAAGCTGGCTACAAACTCACAATCCTCTGCCTCCACTCCCAAAAGCTGGGATCCTAAGTGTGTACCACCACACCCGCTCTCATCAGAAAGCTTAAAGAAAAAGCAGTTTGCACAAATGTGTCACTTCTGTGACACAGGCTAGGGCTTGGCCTCAGCCTGTCAGGCCCAGTATGAGACGGCCCTGCTTCCTTCCCCCACTGCCCCTTCCAGTCCCACGGCTGGAGAGCCCAGGCCAACATCGAGCCTCAGGAAGCACACTGCCGCCTCTCTCCTCTCCTCTCTTGTCTCCCTCCAGGGTAACCCAAAGGCCAGAAGCACAATGGCTGCAGGTCTGAGGAGACACTAGGCCAGGCAAGGGTCAGCTGGCTTCTGATCGGCCCAGTGTGGAGAGCAAGGGGGCCCCTCCCTCTCCCCCCCTAGCCAGGAGGCTGCAAGCCCACCAGGAAGACCCTGTAGAGGCTGTCAGAATACACCTGGGAGATTGAGCCCCTGTCCTCACAGTACTTCAGGTAAGGACTGCTGTTCCACAGAGAGGGAAGAAGAGAGATGGAGCTCCTTCCCATTTACTTCTTGGTTACTGATATTTATTCCTAAACAAGCAAAACCAATAGGAAAAACTCTCCATTCTCTTCCATGATTTTCCCAAAGAAAAGGTACTTGTGTGTGTGTGCATTTGCATGTGTACATGCATTTGTGTGTATGCGTGTGGTGCTGGGGAAGGAACCAGGGCTTCATGCGTGCTGGGCAAGTGCTCTGCCACTAACTGCATCTCCAGCTCAAAAACGTTTTATATACAAACACCCAGGAAAAGCAGCAGGCCCGTGCCCCTCCTGGCTCCCTTCTAGCCTGAGGACCCTCTGCTGAGCAGGCACCTCACTGTGGGCACCGCAGCCCCGGTCTCCAGGTCCCCTTGGGGCAACGTGACCTGGAGGAGAAGGCTGGCACACACTGCACCTTCTCCCCAGCCTTGGCCACGAGTGAGAGAGCTGCATCCCTCGTGGCCTTGGCACCTGCCCAGTTCCTGAGCCATCCTGCGCCCCTCTGAATCCTGCTGGAGGCATAGCCAAGCGTATCAAAGGGTCAGATGTCCAACTCAACAAAACACCCTGAGCAGGCAGGGAAGCAAGCTAGGGCTATTTCAAACACTTCCATAGCCAGCCACAGCCCCACTCAGCTGCTCTCCAAATGAAGGGACAGGTGATGCAAATCCTCAGGGTCTGGGGCTTGGCCTTCTCTCCAAGGCTTATGGGAAAGGCAGGACAGAGCTTAACCACACTGAAAAGCAACTACGCTTCTTCCTTTGGTGCCATACAGGCCCTCCTGGGTCTGGTGTGGCTGGTGAGAGTCAGGGTTTTCTTCTCTTCCTTAAATCTCAGTGGTCAGCCAGACACTGTAGTTCACATCTGTAATCTCAGCTACTTAGGAGGATCATGAATCAAGGCTAGTCCAGGCAAAAAATGAGCAAGATCCCATCTGAACAGAAAAGCTGGTCGTGATGACATGTGCCTGTAATTCCAGCCACATGGTAACTCCGAAAGTAGAAGGATCTCAGCCTGAGGCAAGCCTCAGACAAAAACCTGGATGCTACTGAAAAATAACTAGAGCAAAAAGCGTTGGGAATGTGGCGAGTCAGAGAGTCAGAGAGGAAAATCCTAACTGGGAACGTGAACTCCTCTACCACTGCACATCCTGTTGCATAAAACAGACAAGCGAGATGGGGCCTGAGTCGGCCATTACACAACTGACTCGTCGACCCAGAGCACACTGTCCGCAGCACCAGATACGTACCCCGCTACCAGGGTCTTGGGGATCTCTCCAGCGAACGCCTCAGCCATCTCCCTGCTGCCCACGCTGGCGATGCAGTGCAGGGCCAGTCCCATGAAGGTTGGGTTGCGGCTGGCCAGGTCGTTTTTGATGGCGTTGTTTATTAAGCGGATCAACTCACTGTTAGAATTCACCAACACGGAGATGAACAGGTAGCCCTGTGTTCCAAGAAGGCAGGAGACAAAGAGCTTATCACAACTGACTGGGACATAACACACGATGCACAGACAAGCAAACCTTTGAAAACCTCTGTCACCATCCCCACAGAGCAAGTGAGACCTCCATCACCATCCCCACAGTACACAGAGACCTCCATCACCATCCCCACAGAACATGGTGAGACCTCCATCACCATCCCCACAGAGCAAGTGAGACCTCCATCACCATCCCCACAGAACACAGAGACCTCCATCACCATCCCCACAGAGCAGGTGAGACCTCCATCACCATCCCCACAGAACACAGAGACCTCCATCACCATCCCCACAGAGCAGGTGAGACCTCCATCACCATCCCCACAGAGCAGGTGAGACCTCCATCACCATCCCCACAGAACACAGAGACCTCCATCACCATCCCCACAGAACATGGTGAGACCTCCATCACCATCCCCACAGAGCAGGTGAGACCTCCATCACCATCCCCACAGTACACAGAGACCTCCATCACCATCCCCACAGAGCAGGTGAGACCTCCATCACCATCCCCACAGTACACAGAGACCTCCATCACCATCCCCACAGAACATGGTGAGACCTCCATCACCATCCCCACAGAACATGGTGAGACCTCCATCACCATCCCCACAGAACATGGTGAGACCTCCATCACCATCCCCACAGAACATGGTGAGACCTCCATCACCATCCCCACAGAGCACAGAGACCTCCATCACCATCCCCACAGAGCAGGTGAGACCTCCATCACCATCCCCACAGAACACAGAGACCTCCATCACCATCCCCACAGAGCAGGTGAGACCTCCATCACCATCCCCACAGAACACAGAGACCTCCATCACCATCCCCACAGTACACAGAGACCTCCATCACCATCCCCACAGAGCAGGTGAGACCTCCATCACCATCCCCACAGAGCAGGTGAGACCTCCATCACCATCCCCACAGTACACAGAGACCTCCATCACCATCCCCACAGAACAGGTGAGACCTCCATCACCATCCCCACAGTACACAGAGACCTCCATCACCATCCCCACAGTACACAGAGACCTCCATCACCATCCCCACAGAGCAGGTGAGACCTCCATCACCATCCCCACAGAACAGGTGAGACCTCCATCACCATCCCCACAGTACACAGAGACCTCCATCACCATCCCCACAGTACACAGAGACCTCCATCACCATCCCCACAGAGCAGGTGAGACCTCCATCACCATCCCCACAGAACACAGAGACCTCCATCACTATCCCCACAGTACACAGAGACCTCCATCACCATCCCCACAGAGCAGGTGAGACCTCCATCACCATCCCCACAGAGCAAGTGAGACCTCCATCACCATCCCCACAGAGCAGGTGAGACCTCCATCACCATCCCCACAGTACACAGAGACCTCCATCACCATCCCCACAGAGCAGGTGAGACCTCCATCACCATCCCCACAGAACACAGAGACCTCCATCACCATCCCCACAGTACACAGAGACCTCCATCACCATCCCCACAGAACATGGTGAGACCTCCATCACCATCCCCACAGAGCAGGTGAGACCTCCATCACCATCCCCACAGAGCAGGTGAGACCTCCATCACCATCCCCACAGTACACAGAGACCTCCATCACCATCCCCACAGAACACAGAGACCTCCATCACCATCCCCACAGTACACAGAGACCTCCATCACCATCCCCACAGAGCAGGTGAGACCTCCATCACCATCCCCACAGTACACAGAGACCTCCATCACCATCCCCACAGAGCAGGTGAGACCTCCATCACCATCCCCACAGAACACAGAGACCTCCATCACCATCCCCACAGTACACAGAGACCTCCATCACCATCCCCACAGAGCAGGTGAGACCTCCATCACCATCCCCACAGAGCAGGTGAGACCTCCATCACCATCCCCACAGTACACAGAGACCTCCATCACCATCCCCACAGAACATGGTGAGACCTCCATCACCATCCCCACAGAGCAGGTGAGACCTCCATCACCATCCCCACAGAGCAGGTGAGACCTCCATCACCATCCCCACAGTACACAGAGACCTCCATCACCATCCCCACAGAGCAGGTGAGACCTCCATCACCATCCCCACAGTACACAGAGACCTCCATCACCATCCCCACAGAACATGGTGAGACCTCCATCACCATCCCCACAGAGCAGGTGAGACCTCCATCACCATCCCCACAGAACATGGTGAGACCTCCATCACCATCCCCACAGAGCAGGTGAGACCTCCATCACCATCCCCACAGAGCAGGTGAGACCTCCATCACCATCCCCACAGTACACAGAGACCTCCATCACCATCCCCACAGAACATGGTGAGACCTCCATCACCATCCCCACAGAGCAGGTGAGACCTCCATCACCATCCCCACAGTACACAGAGACCTCCATCACTGTCCCCACAGAACAGGTGAGACTTGTCCCAAAAGCTCACTCTTCACTCTCAGGAGCACACAAGCTACATGGCTGCTACATGGTTGCTACCACCCTGCCCTGCCTCAGCATTCCTTCTAGGGTATAGTCCAATCCTCATGCATCTGAGTGTCTGGAGGCCACACATCTTTAAATCAGGGAGAAAGGGGCCATGGCCCAGAGGACCAACCTTGGCAGCACTCATTAATAAACAGACTATTCAGAAACTCAGCTGACCACCATCCACTGCTCGCTCTCAACCTGTGTCCCAGTCACACCTCTACCTAACCAAATCCCAGCCCAATGTCACCATTCTGTCACCTCCTCCTCTTCACACACAACCACAAGAGTCACTCACACCTTTCCTTCACGGGACACAGCAATCTTCTCAAGATATCTCTGACCACACACTTCCCAATTAAATCACAGCCCATTTCCATGGCTCCCAAGGTAAAGGTCCTAGGGAGCCCCCCACCCCCACCCCGCTCCCCTCAGCCTCAGCTGCCTCCCAGTGTGTACACCAAGCCCCGCTCCTCCACTGCCCCTTCTCCACACACCTGCACCCCTCCTTCACAGAGCCAATATAGGGCCCTGGCCTCGGCAGCACTGTGTGTGTGTGTGTGTGTGTGTGTGTGTGTGTGTGTGTTCGGCAGCACTGTGTGTGTGTGTGTGTGTGTGTGTGTTCGGCAGCACTGTGTGTGTGTGTGTGTGTGTGTGTGTGTGTGTTCGGCAGCACTGTGTGTGTGTGTGTGTGTGTGTGTGTGTGTTGTGTGGTTGTCTGTGTCTGTCTGTCCTGAAGCTTAAACCAATACAGAACCCTTGCATCGGCCACACTGTGTGTGTGTGTGTGTGTGTGTGTGTGTGTTGTGTGGTTGTCTGTGTCTGTGTGTCTATCTGTCCTGAAGCTTAAACCAATACAGAACCCTTGCATCGGCCACACTGTGTGTGTGTGTGTGTGTGTGTGTGTGTGTGTGTGTGTGTGTGTTGTGTGGTTGTCTGTGTCTGTGTGTCTATCTGTCCTGAAGCTTAAACCAATACAGAACCCTTGCATCGGCCACACTATGTGTGTGTCTGTGTGTTTGTGTTTATGTGTTTGTATGTATGTCTGTCTGTCTGTCTGTCCCAGAGCTTAAACTCAGGGCCTGGGTACTGTCCCTGAGGGGTTGTTTTGCTCAGAGCTACCACTCGATCCCCAGCTCCACTTCCAGCTTTTTGATGGTTAATTGGCGGTAAGAGTCTCATGGACCTTCCTGCCTGGGCTGACTTTAAACCAGGATGCAGATCTCAGCCTCCTGAGAAGCTAGATTTACAGACATGAGCCATCAGAGGCCGGCCACAACTGGGCTTTTTTGTGTGTGATTGAACTCAGGGCCTGGGTGCTATCCCTGAGCTCTTCTTGCTCAGGGCTAGTACTTGAGCCACAGCTCTACTTTTAACTTTTTTAGGTGATTAATTGGAGATAACGGTCTCACAGACTTTCCCACTCGGGTAGCCTTCAAATCAGGATGCTCAGATCTCAGCCTCCTGAGTAGCTAGGATGACAGACGTGAGCCACCAGCGCCCGGCCACCATTGGCTGCTGCTGGTTTTTACTGGACTATCTGGTTCCCGTCACCTCACTGGGCAGCAGCAAGCCTACATCTGCTCTTAGTCACTGTTCTCCAGGGTCTTCCAGCACACTGCTTAGTACAGGACAGACACTAAACTCATTTTTTTATTTTTGTCCTTCCTTGTTTCCTTCCCTTCCCATCTTTCCTTTTCTTCCTTTCTTTAATGCGGTACTAGGAAATGAACCCAGGACTTCTTGTTTGCTAAACAAGTGCTCTACCACTTACCACTTGAACCATAAATATCGGGGGCACGTTTGAATCATGGTTCACACTTGCATAGTATTTTTTAAATATTCTCATTAACTTTGTGAAGGCTGGGCTAGAACTCACAATCCTACTGCCTCTGGCTTCCATGTAGCTGGGATTACAGGCATGTGCCACATCCCCTGGCTCACTCCACATTTTTTGAGGGGTAGGGGGTGGTCGTGGGGTTTGAACTCTGAGCCTGGGTGACGTCCCTAAGCTCTTCAGCTCAAGCACTCTACCACTTGAGCCACCACGTCGCTTCCAGTTTTCTGGTGGTTAATTGGAGATTAACAGTCTCATGGGGGCTGGGAATGTGGCTTAGTGGCAGAGTGCTTACCTAGCATGCATGAAGCCCTGGGTTCAATTCCTTAGTTCCACATAAACAGAAAAGGCCAGAATTGGTGCTGTGGCTCAAGTGGTAGAGTGCTAGCCATGAACAAAAGAAGTTCAGAGTCAGTGCCCAGGTCCTAGTTGAAGCCCCAGGACAGAAAAGAAAAGAAAAGAAAAGGGAGGGGGAGGGGGAGGGGGGGAGGGGGAGGGGGAAAGAGAGAGGAAGAGAGAAGGAAGGGAAGGGAAGGGAAGGGAAGGGAAGGGAAGGGAAGGGAAGGGAAGGGAAGGGAAGGGAAGGGAAGGGAAGGGAAGGGAAGGGAAGGGAAGGGAAGGGAAGGGAAGGGAAGGGAAGGGAAGGGAAGGGAAGGGAAGGGAGGAGAAAGAGAGAAAGAAAGAGAGGGGGAAAGAAGGGAAGGAGGGGGAGAGAAAGTCTGTCTCATGGACTTTCCTGCCTGGGCTGGCTTTGAACTGTGATCCTCAGATCTCAGCCTCCAGAGTACTAGGATTATAGGGTTGAGCCACTGGCACCTGGTCCATAAATTTTTATTAAGAAAAGATCTGGGGCTGGGAAGGTGGCTCAGTGGTAGAGTGCTTGCCTTGCATGCCTGAGGCCCTGGGTTTGATTCCTCAGCACCACATAAGCAAAAAGAAAAAAGCCGGAAGTGGCGCTGTGGTTCAAGTGGTAGACTGCTAGCCTTGAGCTGAAGAGCTGAGGGACAGCGCCCAGGCCCAGAGTTCAGGCCCCACGACCGGACCCAAAAAAAAGAAAAAGAAAAAGTAAAGATCTGGGTGTGCTCAGGGCACTGGTCCAGGACCCCACGACGCTCATGTACCTGTCTACCATGGTAGACATCCTCAGGGCACTGAGACTACCAAACGCCACAGGTGCTCGAATGCCTGTCTGCCCCAGTGCAGTGTGTATGGGAGGACTGTCCCCTCTGCGTTCCACCTCCTGGCCCCGTCAGTGCCGTACGTCCTTCAGACACAGAGCCACAGGGCAAACCTACCTGCCACTGCTGTCATTAACAAGACTGGGAACGGAGAGGCTGAAGATGGCCATGTGGGCAGCGACAGGCACAAAGGAAGGGTCAGAGTGTGCACCAAAGACAAAAGGGGTCGAAGGAGAAGGTGCATGCCTGTATTCTAGCCATCAGAATGGCAGGGCAGGGGGTGACAGTTCTAGTCCAGTCTGCTGAGGGTAAAACTTAGTCTCAAAAACAAATAACAATAGCTGGGTGCCAGTGGCTTACTCCGGGCCTCATAGCTACTCAGGAGGCTAAGATCTGAGGATCGTGGTTCAAAGCCAGCCCAGGCAGGAAAAGTCTGGGAGACTCTTATCTCCAATAAACCACTAGAAAACCAGAAGCAGTGATGTGGCTCAAATAGTAGAGCACTCGCCTTGAGCTGAGGGACAGCGCCCAGGCGGGGGGAGGGAATAGGAAAGAATGGGGGAACAGATGACACTGTGCAAAAGGAAATGTACTTACTACCTGACATATGTAAATATAACCTGGCTGTGTATCACCCAACAACAATAAAGCAAATTAAAATTAAAAAAAAAAAAAGCTGCGGACATGGCTCAAAAGGTAGTATATTTACTTAGCATGCACACATGGCCCAAAAGATAGTATACTTACCTAGCATGCACAAGGCCCCATGTTAAATCCCCAATACTGGGGGGAAAAGCAACAGTGGAAGAAAGGGCACCCCCTCAGAACTCCACGCAAACAAAGACCCTCCTTAGAGCTGATTTAAGACAAACCTCCAGGGGCTGGGAAGGTGGCTCAGTGGTAGAGCGCTTGCCTTGCATGCATGAAGCCCTGGGTTCGATTCCTCAGCACCACATAAGCAAAAAGAAAAAAGCCGGAAGTGGCGCTGTGGCTCAAGTGGTAGAGCGCTAGCCTTGAGCTGAAGAGCTGAGGGACAGCGCCCAGGCCCAAAAAAAAGGACAGACCTCCACTGTCCCAGCCAACGAGGCTGGTGCCAGCATGGAACAGGAGGGAGGAGAGTCTGAGAGCAGTCCACTAGGCACACAGCCCTCCCTGTGACCATACTCACAATCTGCTTTTCCGTGTATCTGTTTGAACTCAGCAGGTTCACAGCCTCCATGTGTCCAAAGTCAATGTCGTGACCAAGGAGAAAGATGAAGAGCAACTTGCACACGTACTTTTTTTTACTATAGCCATCCAGAGCTTTGTCACCTATACAAAAGGTGAAGAAAGGGTTAATCCCAGGTGGTCAGGGTAGGTAAGGCAGAGAAATGAGCCATAACCAACAGCAAGCAACAGCAAGGCATGAGGGGCCTCCCATGGGGCCTGGGCCTGGGCCAGAGCTAGATTGGAGTAGAACAAGAAAAGCGCTTCTCACTACGTGGTATACACCAGAATCCAGAAATATACCGTTTCACTCTTCACTTCTTTATTTTTTATTTATTTTTTTTGGGTCCGGTCGTGAGGCCTGAACTCTGGGCCTGGGCGCTGTCTCTCAGCTCTTCAGCTCAAGGCGAGCGCTCTACCACTTGAGCCACAGCACCACTTCCGGCTTTTTTTCTTTTTGCTTATATGGTGCTAAGGAATCGAACCTAGGGCCTCAGGCATACAAGGCAAGCGCTCTACCACTGAGCCATCTTCCCAGCCCCTCACTCTTCACTTCTTTAGACCCAAGACCAGGACTCAAACTTGGCACTTGATACTATTACTCACTGGCTGTCACTCTACCAACCAAGCCATGCTTCCAACCCCAGGGTTGGTTAGCTTTTTTTTTTTGAGGCTTGACTCTTGACAGTGGAACCAGAGCATCTGACATCAAGAACTCTGCCCCCCAGTTCAACCCAGCAGCAAACCCCAGCGGGGTCTGCAGGGCTTCCCTCGAGTGCTACAATCCTAAAGTCACAGGAGCCAGAGAAGCTGGAAGCCTCACCTTGACCCATCAAGTTAATCTTATTTAAGATCAGTAATTTAGGCAGGCGTACACACTCCAAATTATCTTTTACCTCAGAACACTTTGATGACAAATCACCAAGTCATAAAAACCACACACACACCAACACCCTAGGACTTGTATCTTTACTGTAATTGCAACATGACTGAACATCTCCCTCAAGGTTACCACAAAGAAGCTCCAAACAGTAATCAGCAGAATACAAAACCCCACGAGTCAGCAAGAGCCACTCGGGGCTGCCTGGGAGGCGCAGGAGCCCTCCTGAGCCCACCGAGCTGTATTCTGGGGTGGGAGGGCGACCTGTGACATCCCACCCTTCACAATGATGGGAGCAGCAGGCCTCCCAATCACACGGCTTTCCAGAACATCCCAGGGCCTGGCTTTAAAGTATCAAGACCTGCCGGGCGCTGGTGGCTCACACCTGTCATCCTAGCTACTCAGGAGGCTGAGATCTGAGGATCTCAGTTCAAAGCCAGCCCAGGCAGGAAAGTCCATGAAACTCTATCTCCAATAAACCACCAGAAAACCGGAAGTCGCGCTGTGGCTCAAGAGGTAGAGCACTAGCCTTGAGCTGAAAAGCTGAGGGACAGCGCCCAGGCCCAGAATTCAAGGCCCACGACCCACAAAAATAAATAAATAAATAAAGTATCAAGACTTAAGGGCTGGGAAGGGGGCTCAGCGGCAGAGTGCTAGCATGCATGAAGCCCTGGGTTCAATGCCTCAGCACCACGTACACAGAAAAGGCCAGAAGTAGTGCTGTGCCTCAAGTGGTCAAGCGCTCGCAAAAGCAGCTCAGGGACAGTGCCCAGGCCCTGAGTTCAAGTGCCAGGACAGACAATAAATACACACATACACACACACATACATATGTAAATAAATAAAATATCAAGCCAGTGCCGGTGGCTCATGCCTGTAATCCTAGCTACTCAGGAGACTGAGATCTGAGGATCGCGGTTCAAAGCCAGCCCAGGCAGGAAAGACCATGAGACTCCTATCTCCAATAAGCCACCAGAAAACCGGTGGTGCTGTAGCTCAAGTGGTAGAGCGCTCACCTTGAGCTGAAGAGCTGAGGGACAGCGCCCAGACCCAAAGGTCAAGCCCACAACTGACAAAAAAATAAAATAAAATAAAATGAAATGAAATAAAATATCAAGACTTAACACTACCCCTAGGGTTCAACAGGTGCTATGCCAACTAGTAACAACTCAACTCCACTTTCTGCAACAGCTGCTCATACAAGATATTCACTCGAGGGGCTGGGAAAGTGGCTCAGTGGTAGAGCGCTTGCCTTGCAAGCCAGAGGCCCTGGGTTTGATTCCTCAGCACCACATAAGGAAAAAAAAAAAAGCCGGAGGTGGCGCTGTGGCTCAAGTGGTAGAGTGCTAGCCTTGAGCTGAAGAGCTGAGGGGCAGCGCCCAGGCCCAGAGTTCAGGCCTCACGACCAGACCCCCCCCCCAAAGATATTCACTCGAAAGTGCAGTAGTAGAGCTCACTGGACACTAATGAACGTGACCTACACAACTTGTGGGTGGAGATGGGAGGGAGGGACTGGGACAGAGTAAAGGAATGGAAGACACTGTATGAAAGGAAATGTACTCATTACTTGACTTATGCCATTGTGATCCCTCTGTACATCACCTTTATAATTACAAATAATAATTTAAATAAATAAAACTTATAAACAAGTTTAAAAAATTCATTCAAGCCCCCCAAAAAGCACCCATTTTGGAAGACTCTAGGAGTCCGCAGGGCAGACTGGTGCAGACCCCACACCTGCTCAGGGTCCAATGCCAGACCCTCTTGGACTCATGGTTTCTGGCCAATTGCAGGTACTCTCTGGGCTAAAGTATACCCAGGAGCTTGAGCCAGGTCCCAAACCTGCAAAAATACACCAAAATCTGAAGAGCATAAAGGAGTGATTGGGCTTTCCCAAACGTGCTGAAGACTAGAAACTAAACCCGTGCTGTACAATTCTTCAAAGTGAGCATGCTCAGGGAAGAGGCGGCCACCAGGAGAAGGTAGGACTGGCAGAGCCGGAAACACCTGACATCCCTGGAAGTGCTGTAATTCCTTCCTAACACTTCAAACATCTAATGGCCTCAGGCAGGGCATTCCAAATATTTAACATCCACCTACCTCTGCAAGCTGCTGAGCAGCTTGGTTCCAATCCAAGGGAAGACCAAGACCTATGCCAGGACATACACAGGGACATGCATGTGCGTGTGTGTGTACACATAAACCATAAACATATTGTCTAAAGCATGGTGCACACAAGGGAGGTTTACAATAGTTTAACTCACTGAACAACTCATAGCTTAACAAAATAAAGCTGAAACGTGAGGTCATCAGGAGTGGGGAAGGTCCAGAGGAGGGCGCAGACAAGAGAAAGGGTGGGTGAACATAGTTAAATGTTCAGTGTACATATGTGAAAATGGAACTAAGTAACTTGAGAGAATGGGTAGGGTTGGGAGAGACAGGGAGGGAGGGATGGGGAGACATTGTTCAAGAAATACTGTACTCATAAATTAATATTTTGAATTAAAATCCCTCTGTACAACTACTTTAAGATAATAATAATAGGACTGGGAATGTGGCTCAGTGGTAGAGCCCTTGCCTAGCATGCATGAAGCCCTGGGTTTGACTCCTCAATATTATATAAATAGAAAAAGCCAGAAGTGGCACTGTGGCTCAAGTGGTAGAGTGCTAGCCTTGCGCAAAAGAAGCTCAGGGACAGTGCCCAGGCCCTGAGTTCAAGGCCCAGAACAGGTACCAAAAAAAAAAAAAATATGTGTGTGTGTGTACATATATATATATGTATATGTACACACACATATAATATACATATATGTAATATACATAATATAAATGGAAGGTGACAAGAAAGCCATTAAAGAAAGCAGAAAGAAAAAAATTAACAGACTCTCCAAATAGGGAAAAGATTTCCCTGTCACCCCATGAGGAAAAATCCCAAAGAAAAGAAGTTCTTGTGTGTGCAAGTCCTGGGCCCTGCGCTTTTGTGCTCAAGCCTAGTGCTCCACTCCAGGCTTTTTATGGTTAATTGGAGAAAAGAGTCTCATATACTTTCCTGCCCAGGCTAGCTTTGAACCACCATCCTCAGAACTCAGCCTCCTAGGTGGCTAGGATTACAGGTATGAGCCACATGCACCCATCTCCAAAGGGGGGAAAATTAAGCGGAGGAAAAAGCAACAACAACAAACAAACAGGACCTATGCCAGGAGACACACCATCCAAACTTGGCATGAGCTATACCCACAACCCAGGAATGCCAGTGGACTGACTCTTCACAGGCTTTAATTACTGACAGCCATGATAGTAACTGTACTGAGAACTCGATTTGGTGGGGAGGTGGCAGCGGCGGGGTGGGAGGAAGATGGGATCAAAAGATCCGATCCTTCCTGCAAAATTAAAAACAGGACCCACCATGGGAAACCCAAACACTTACCCTTAAATTTTGACCTAATATTTGCCAGTTCTTTGTTTATCCTCTTTATTTCTGCTTCTTTACTTTTGCCTGAAAAAGAGAGAAAAAACCAAAAATGTTATTTAACTGACTCCAAAAAGCACCTGTGCCACGGTACAGCCTACACGGAGAAATGACCACCAGAATCCTAGCTAAGGAGAAGTGAAGTCCTATAGTCTCTGCTCAGCCGCGTGTTTTAATGCAGGAAGAAAGACCAAAGACAGAAGGACAGACACAAGCAGCCCCTGGCCTCGCGCCACCCAGGAGCCTGGTGCCTGTGGCGGCAGTGTGCTCGCACGGCTGTGTTACCATCTTAAAACTCTACCTTTGTCCCACTGCTCTGAGACTGGAAAACACTAAAACACCTGCTAAAGGTGTTCCATAACAAGCCAACAGCAGCAACAGTTTACTCCTGAGACTGACAGTGAGAGCACAATAGCCGCCACGCAGCTCCAGCTCTCTTCCTTATGAAACCCACCAACATAAAAAATCCTGATAAGGCTGGGAAGGTGGCTCAGTGGCAGAGCGCTGGCCTTGCATGCCTGAGGCCCTGGGTTCCATTCCTCAGCACCACATAAGCAAAAAGAAAAAAGCCGGAAGTGGCGCTGTGGCTCAAGTGGTAGAGCGCTGGCCTTGAGCTGAAGAGCTGAGGGACAGCGCCCAGGCCCCGAGTTCAGGCCCCACGACCGGACCCAAAAAAAAAAGTAATAAAAAAAAAATTCTGGTAAGTCCACTTATGTAACACACAACGAAGTTCCAGATCTCTCTACCGTGCTAAGATCAGACAGAAGAATTGCCAGTTACACAACTGCCAAACCTTCACTAAGTAGAACCTCGGTTTCTGCTAAACTTCCAGCCCTTCCCCAAGGCCTGCAGGGGCACCTTGTGTGAGTTCTCAGACAAAATGACCTGTTGTGCCACTCCACCTGGACTGGCATGCCGCTGGGCCTACAGCACACAAGTGAGCTTAGGACTGTGTGCACAGGGGAGTCTGTGACTGTGTGCAGGTCACTTGTTGAAAGCTCCAGTGAGGTGGACATTGAGGCTTTCTCTCAAGCGAGTTACACGTGTGGGGGTACACTGGCAGCTCCCCCAGCATCAGAAGCCGCCCTCCAGGCCCCCTGCTGCAGAGCCCCAAACACTGGCCCTGCCTGTATCCTCGGCTTCACAGGGCCCTCCCAGCTTATCTGCCTGCCAGCAGCACGTCCCCCTCAGGACACTCCCCGAGTATCATTTATCTCCTGCTGCACACCTGCTGGTGTAACAGCACTCAGAATTTGCTGGATTAGGAAGCACTCCAGGGCCAGGACCACTCCAGCAAGCTCCAGGCACACAGGTGGATGAGACTGAACATGGAACCTTGCTAGAAGTCCCACAGCTGGTGTTCAAGCCTTTGCTTTGGCCACATGGGAACCTGTTCAGTTTCTAACAGTTCAGGAACATTAATCTGATATTAAAACAAACTATAAGGGCTGGGAAGGTGGCTCAGTGGTAGAGCACTTGCCTTGCATGCCTGAGGCCCTGGGTTCGATTCCTCAGCACCACATTAAGCAAAAAGCCAGAAGTGGCGCTGTGGCTCAAGTGGTAGAGCACTAGCCTTGAGCTGAAGAGCTGAGGGACAGCGCCCAGGCCCAGAGTTCAGGCCCCACGACTGGACCCAAAAAAACAAATAAAAAAAAAAAAAATATATATATATATATATATATATATATATAAGATGTGCTGAGAGGTGGCTCAGAACAGAGCACTTGCCATGCAAGGCCCTGGGCTCCCTTCCTACTACAATAATATAACAAGAAATAGGAAAATATCGAGGTTCAATTCCACACAAAGAGACTATAAGTAAGGAGTCATCAAGACTACATGCTGGTAAGCTCAGATGCTCAGGAGGCAGACATAGGAGAATCTAGGTCGGGGGCCCTACAAAGAAAGGTTTCAGACAACTTAGCACAATTCCATGGGACAGCTCCATCCTAGGTGTGGGGACATCGGCGGTCAGTGACACACCATGGGATGACAAGGACAACAAGCCAGGCTTCTGTCTCCACAGCTCTCCCTCGCTAAAACCACACTCCATTCCCAGCCAGGCTTTACCTTGCAGGCAAAGATCTTACGGGAAGGAAGGGAGGAAGGGAGGGAGGGAGGGAGGGAAAGAGAGAGGGAGGGAGGGAGGGAGGGAAAGAGAGAGGGAGGGAGGGAGGGAGGGAAAGAGAAAGGAAGGAAGGAAGGAAGGAAGGAAGGAAGGAAGGAAGGAAGGAAGGAAGGAAGGAAGGAAGGAAGGAAGGAAAGGAGGGAGGGAAGGAGGGAGGAATGGAGGGAGGAATGGAGGGAGGAATGGAGGGAGGGAGGGAGAGAGGAAGGGAGGGAGGGAAAGAGAGAGGGAGGGAGGGAGGGAGGGAAAGAGAGAGGGAGGGAGGGAGGGAGGGAAAGAGAAAGGAAGGAAGGAAGGAAGGAAGGAAGGAAGGAAGGAAGGAAGGAAGGAAGGAAGGAAGGAAGGAAGGAAGGAAAGGAGGGAGGGAAGGAGGGAGGAATGGAGGGAGGAATGGAGGGAGGAATGGAGGGAGGGAGGGAGAGAGGAAGGGAGGGAGGGAAGAGAAAGAAAGAAAGAAAGAAAGAAAGAAAGAAAGAAAGAAAGAAAGAAAGAAAGAAAGAAAGAAAGAAAGAAAGAAAGAAAGAAAGAAAGAAAGAAAGAAAGAAAGAAAGAAAGAAAGAAAGAAAGAAAGGAGGGGTGGCTGGGAAGGTGGCTCAGTGGTAGAGTGCTTGCCTTGCATGCCTAAGGCCCTGGGTTCGATTCCTCGGCACCACATAAGCAAAAATGAAAAAAAGCCAGAAGTGGCGCTTCCCAGCCCTTATAGTTTGTTTTAATATCAGATTAATGTTCCTGAACTGTTAGAAACTGAACAGGTTCCCATGTGGCCAAAGCAAAGAGCTGAGGGACAGCACCCAGGCCCAGAGTTCAGGCTCAACGACCGGACCCCAAAAAGAGAGGGGGGGAGGGGGGTGGGGGGTGGGGGGTGGGGGGAGGCTAGGAACCTGGCTTAATGGTAGAGTGTTCGCCTAGCATGCATGAAGCCCTGGGTTCAATTCCTCAGTACTACATAAACAGAAAAAGTCAGAAGTGGCACTGGGGTAGAGTGTGGTAGGGGGCTAGCCTTGAGCAAAAGAAGCTCAGGGACAGTGCCCAGACCTTGAGTTCAAGCCCCAGGACTAACCCAAAAAAAATAAGATTAGCTTTAGGCATCTTGATGTTAGAAATAAATATGTAAAAGGGTAACATGCCAGCCAGAAAAACTGGCCTGCCAGTCTGACTTTGGCCCTAGCTACCCTGTGCTGTCCACATTTGAAATCCAGCAGATACTTCCTACACGGACTTTGGAGCGGTATGGCTAACTAGTGACCCATTGCTGAGACCAAAGCATGTTGTGATTTGCCTCCATAAGTCAAAGGAACACACCGTGGGACAGGCACGGACTGAGCTTCTGGGTTCAAGCTAATTCCTCAGCAACAGGCTGGTTAATCATTTCTTCTGCAAGCTGAACTCATCACCTACAGTATTGGTATGCCAGAACAGCTCAACTTCCAACATATAAGACAGGAATCAACAACAGGTTCACTAGAAAATACCACCCTAGGACCGTAGCGCGGTGCTGCATTTAGGAGGGTAGGCAGGAAGGAGGACTGTGAATCTGTAGCCAGGCCAGGCAGTATGGGCAGTTCATTATGTAGCACACACACCCTTGGGGTGCTCGGTGCGGTTTCCATTTGTTTTCTTGTTGGAACTTTTCTTTCTTCCTTTTTTTCCCTTCCTTTGTCAGTCATGAGGCTTGGACTCCAGGCCTGGGTGCTGTCCCTGAGCCACAGATCTACTTTCCAGTGGTTCATTAGAGGTAAGAGTCTCACAGGGCTGGGAAAGTGGCTCAGTGGTAGAGTGCTTGCCTTGCATGCATGAGGCCCTAGGTTCGATTCCTCAGCACCACATAAGCAAAAAGAAAAAAGCTGGAAGTAGCGCTGTGGCTCAAGTGGTAGAGCGCTAGCCTTGAGCTGAAGAGCTGAGGGACAGTGCCCAGGCCCAGAGTTCAAACCCCACGATGGACTACCCCCCCCCCCAAAAAAAAAAAAGTCTCACAAATTTTCCTGCCTGGGCTTCAAGCCACAGGATCCTCAGATCTCAGCCTCCTGTGTAGCTAGGATGATAGGCATGAGCTCTTGATGGATTTTTTTTTTTTTTTTTCTGGTCGTGGGACTTGAACTCTGGGCCTGGGCGCTGTCCCTGTGCTCTTCAGCTCAGGGCTAGCACTCTACCACTAGAGCCACAGCGCCATTTCCGGTTTTCTAGTGGTTTATTGGAGATAAGAGTCTCACAGACTTTCCTGCCTGGGCTGGCTTTGAACTGAAATCCTCAGATCTCAGCCTCCTGAGTAACTAGGGTTACAGAGGTAAGCCACCGGCGCCTGGCTCTCTTGATGGATTTTAATGTGCTTGCAGAATATTTGGAAGAGTGTATATTCAAACACTGTATCTTAATTTTTTTTTCTCTTTTTGCAGTTCTAGAGATTGAACCCAAGGCCTTATGCACTCCAGTCAAGTGCTTAAACCTAAATTATACTCAAGCCCTAGAAAAAAAATTTGAGCCAGGGTCTCAGTGTGGCCCAGAGTGTGGCCTCAGCCTCCTCAAAACACTGATACAAGTTTGTACCACCTCACCTGACTTATTATTATTATTATTTTTGGTTGTGGGTCTTGAACTCTGAGCCTGGGCGCTGTCCCTCAGCTCTTCAGCTCAAGGTTATAGCTCTACCACTTGAACCACAGGTCACTTCCAGCTTTTTCTGCTTATGTGGTGCTGAGGAATTGAAACCAGGGCTTCATGCATGCAAGACAAGCACTCTACCACTGAGCCACCTTCCCAGCCCCTTTTTTTTGGGGGGGGGAGGGAGCCCGGTCGTGGGGCCTGAACCCTGAGCCTTGGCACTGTCCCTCAGCTCTTCAGCTCAAGGCTAGTACTCTGCCACTTGAGCCACAGCGCCACTTCCGGTTTTTTTTTTCTGCTT